GTACAGCTTGTGTTTCCTCAGTGTACATCTCATTCCCACCAGAGATGTGAGGTCCACTGTCAACAGTGTGATGTACCGGTCTGCATCAAATGTCTCACTGGTCAACATAAAGGTCATGACATTGTGGACATGACAGATATCATAGCTACAAAGAGAGAAAAAATCAAACAAGAAACTGAAGAAATTTAGACCATTATTTCAAATAACACGGCACAGGAAAAAGCCACTGAAAACAAAATTTCTGAATCCATGGCCCATTATGCAGATTTACAGAAACGGACCAATGATCATAGAAATCAATGGCACCTAGAGGTGGACAACATCTTTAACAAAATGGAATCCCTTATCCAGTCACTCAGAGATCATCATATTACAACTCTAAAATCATGTCAGTCCCAACTCAGAAGTCAGAATTCCAGTATGAGCCAAACTTGTCAAGAAAACAAGAAAATTCTGAAGTCCAACAAAGTGTCTGATGTCAACAGCTACCAATCTAAACTGAAGGAATACAGAATCATTCCACAAATACCTGATTTACCATTGCCCTCCATTCAAACAAACACAGTCCAAGGGAGAGAATTCAATATAGAATTTGGAGAATACAAGGCTACACTGACACAGACATCACTATCCAGTCTGACAGATGAAGTCTCCTTTTTATCTGTTAAGGAATTATTAAAAGAAGCTAAAGTGATTGCAAACTTTCCAACAAATGTTAAACACTTATGTAAAGTGGCCTGTGTAGGATCAGATAAAGCTTGGATTAGTGGAACAGACAAAATGATAACCTGTGTGGACATACATGGAGCTGTACAAGACACTGTTACCAGTACATGTAATCAATTCCCTAATGACATTACAGCGACCAGACAGGGAGAACTGATATACAGTGATGGTGTCAATAGAACTGTGAACATTGTCAGAGATGGGAAGACAGAGACACTGATCACCACACCAAGGGGCTGGTATCCAGAGGGACTGTGTTGTACCAGGTCAGGGGACATCCTAGTTAGTATGGGTACTGCTGATGATAGTCATTATAAAATAGTCCGTTATCAGGGACAGAGAGTGACACAGGAAATAGATAAAGATGAACATGGTGATCCAATCTATCAAGGAGGAGAATATTCACTGTTTGTGGTGGAGAACAACAATGGAGACATAGTGGCCTCTGATGGTAATGCTGACACCATGGTAGTGGTGGACAGGACAGGAAAAGTCAGATTCAGATACAATAAACCTCCAGGGGGAAAGGAATCATTTGGTCCTGTACAAATAGTGACAGACTCCATGGGTCACATCATTGTGGCTGATTATTTAAATGACTGTCTACACATCATAGATCAGAATGGACAGTTCCTGAGATGTGTGGATAATTGTGGACTAAAGCATCCTATTGGACTGAGTGTGGACAGTGAGGGGAGGTTGTGGGTAGGACTGTTAGATTCAAAGGAAGTGAAAGTCATACAATACATGAAATAAACACCAAACATTTTCTCCTTGTGAAATATGTGTATCCTAAGTTAATTACATGAATTAAACATTTAAACACACATCAAATAATTTTCATTTCATGTTCCAGATCAGGATTTGTAACTTCAGATAGAGAAATAATTATGTATAAAATATTGGTTAAATATGATAAAATAAAAAATAAATATAAATTTATATAATCAATTCAATGAAAGATTTATAAACCTTCATTATTGTATCAATTGCAACTCTGAATAAAGTATATAAACAGTCTGACAGATGTTATTTGTAGAAAAAAAAAACATCATTGAACCAGCATCACCAAACATTTCAGGTAACTGTAAACTACAAGAAGGAAAGAAAAAGAATAGAAGAACGGTTTGAAAAAAAAAATTATTTTAATTATTTTATTAGTACTAAACTTATTATGATATTAATTTCAAATTGGGGGGGGGGGGCTTACTTCTATGATACATGGTTTGTTTTTTTTAAATTAGGTTCTTTGATCCACTCACCTACGATCGCTACACAGATCGTAACAATCGTGGGTAAGCGGATCAAAGGATCTATTTTTCACCTAATTGACCTTTGGCAAAAATTAATAAATAAAATAAAAATTGAATCCCTCCTTTCGGTGACGACGCGAAAAAGTTCATTGTCCATGGCACAAATATATTTGATATTTGGATATAATTAAAACAAAGTAGGATCATTTTACAGTACTATAGATTCCTAAGAATTTAAAATAAAGTCCACTTATTTGCTTTTGACTTTGACATATACCTTATTTTAGGTGTAATTAAATTAGATACAGTTATAAACTGAACCGAGTAAAATCAGAACCCTGGATTTGGCACTATTTTATGCTGCCTCCCACTCCCTCCCCTCGCCATTGTAATGATTTTTTTTGCTATCCATAGAAAAGAGCCTGGATCTGCATTGCTTTTGGTTTGTCAAGAATGATAGGGAAGCAAATTAATCTAGTCAAAACGATACTACAGACTGAAGCTCAAACAAAGGGCCGCTTCATTACTTATTATTTAATTTTATGACGGATTTTTCTAATGTTTAATATATTTTTTTAAATTAAAAAACAAGGGCCCTGAAGGGGAAGAGGGTAGTTTTATTACTATGAACATTTTAGACTAGCGAATGAAGGGGGACTACCCCTCTCCTCCCTTCCTGGAATATTAGCAATTCAGCCTCTCCCTCTTTTTAAATTTCACAGAAAGTACATTACCTAGCAAAGTTAACAACAACCCCATTTTCTAATTTGATTCCGACCCCCAAACACTGTTTTGAGTGCTGATGATAATATAGATATTTGTCGATAAAAACCATTCCCCTTTATGTTTACATCTGCCACGGTAAATACTTTTCATTTCCGTTTCTTTTTCTTTTCGTACTTTACAGTACCCCCAATTTTATGGCGCAATTTTTAATTTACCAATAAATAAATAAAATAAAAATATTCCTGGAAACGGTATAAATCCATGCGCGGATCAAGAGGGGGTCGGGGGGTCCGTCCGGACCCCCCCCCCCGGGAATTGGCAGAGGTATTAAAAATATATACTGAAGAAAATTAAAAAAATGACTTTGGACCCCCCCCCCCCAAAAAAAAAAAAAGAAAACGTGGACCCCACCATCATCACTACGAAATATGTTTTTTCACGTCTAGGAAGTGGATTTTAGGGGGGGGGGGGGTTGTCTTTTTGCTTGTCAAGAAATTTCTGGGTAGGAAATTTTTTATTGACTGGGATGGAACACCCCCCCCCCCCTGGAAAAAATTCCTGCATCTGCGCCTGAAATTATTCCACAGATTTTTTTCTCTCCTAATGAAATTTTCCTGTCTAACTAAGAATGAGGGGGGGGGGGGGAGGGATAATTCAGCTTACGTCATAAAAACTTAGGCTTCCAGAATATCTTTACACGGCCAGATCTCGTTATCTCGTACTGTATTGGACAGAGAAAAAAAGATATCCAAGAATTCGATATATCGGAGTTAAAATACATAAAGACAAGGTAGTTGGTACACCCTACTTTGACATATACATGGTATTCGAGAGATAAAAGTTCCATATAGTTCAACTGTAGTTATATTTACCTCGTCTGAGCATTACGCTCAAGTTTCAGTCAGTCATCTTCTGTCCTTTTGATATAAAGCTTGGATGAATGGATTCTGTCTTCGGGGACTCTATAAACCAAAAAGAACAGCATTCTTCAGAACCCTTAACGATTGTCTTTTTTCTAATTTTGATTTCTTATTAAATCAATGCCACATTTAACTTAGGGATGATTTCCCATATAGTGCATGGCCGTAGGAACCAGGGTTGTGCCCCTTCAACAAAAACGTAAATTTTTGGTAGTGTCCCCTTAACTGTCAACTGAAAATGTATGGCTGTGCCCCCCCCCCCCCCCGACAGAATCGATGGAATAGTAAGTAATAATAATGTAAAATAAACTGAAACTCATAAAAAAAGAGAGAGAGAGAGAGAGATAAAGGATGATCAGGGATAACATAATAGTTAATCTGGTAATCAACAACTCATAATTGAACTTTCCTTTCATGTCACTGCTATCTACATGTACAATCTCGTACAGTCTCTTACTTTCACCAAACACAGAATTCACATGGTAAACTCGGCACCTCTCCCTATACGTGTGTGTGTGAGGTTTGTGTGTGACACTTTTAAGTCTATCTGACTAGTATCAGAAACTAAAAAATAGTTTTGCATTATATATTAAGAATTCTTGTATAATTCTGTTTATAAATCTACCTATCGATAAGATTATTTACAATGATTAATTATCATAGATGAATAACAAAGGGGAATAGCTTCTCTAAAAGTGGGAAAATTTCCTTACATTATCATGTTTGCCCTCCCTATCTCTAGAGGCCCTGGCTCAGGGGCCATGAATTTCACAAATTTGGAAGAAGCACTCCCAGGCTCATCATAACGATGAACAAGAAGTTTGTCTGCTAAATACACAGAAGCATAGAAGATTTTCAAAGAATTCCTGCATTTCTACTATAAGATCGGTAAGTATAACCTCTCTGCATGAGATAGGGGTGCTATAAGTTCTACTACATTCACTTCCATTATTATAAAAATTATAAAACAGTACTTTCTCTGTTTTAAATTCCAAGACTATGTGTCTGTTTAATTTTTGGATTATCATGGCAGTAATACTGTAAGCTATGGATTTCCAGCTGCATATTTAAGATGTTATGATCAGGTATTGGATCTGCCATTATATCCATCAGGTAGCACATACAGGTATTTTTTGGAATGAAGTCAAAAAGCTATTTGCTTAGTGCTTAAAGAATACTTAATTTGTAATATGTCGTGAATGAAAATTCAAGGTTATACCATACTTTACGAAACAAATCCAAATTAAAGAGCATCTAGTGACAACTCGATCCTCAACAACCTTATCATTGACATCTTAGTGAACTTAGGTATTTGGAAGACACATCAACTTGTAAATCCACTGTACCAAGTCAAAGAATAAACAATCAAACAAGATTATTAACAAGAAACTTTAATTTGATACAAAAGTTTTTTCTAAATTTAGAAAGCCCTGTCCTATTGGTTTTCTATAATTATAGTAATTCTTATTATTACTAAGTTTTTCTAGTTAAAATGTGCAGTCCAAATCTACTTCAACATCATTGATCATATTCATAATATTGCCTTAATACAATACTCATGTCTGCAGAATGGAGTCTTTGGGTTGGGAATAAATGCCCCTGAATGAGAAATTCTTTGTATAAGAACGATATCTTTCTCTGGGCAATGAAGTTTAATCAGTCAAAAAATATTTAAACATCTTTAAACTTAAAATCTAAAAGGTGTCAATAAAATAATACCTTAAAGAGAATTTTTTAAAACAATGAAAATACTGTACATGTATACCCAGGTAATAATATCTAAAAACTTAACTGATTTCATTATAATTAAGCTATCATGAAGAAGAAAAAAATCTTAAAAGGTACAGTATAGTTATAAGTGCAATAAGAAACAAGTTGCTTCATGGATTTGCATAAAACTTGGTAGGAAGACACATGCACACAAATATATCACAGCACTGTTTTAGAAGGAAACATACACACCTGTACCATACATGTAGTTCTCTGTCAAAAATAAGGGAATATTTAAGGAATAACTGTCTAATTTTTTGGATTCATGATGTGATCAATCGAGTGGCTTGCGTGATAATTTGCATAAACGCCGAAGGCATTTATGCATAAAATTATCACGCAAGCCAATCGATTGATCATCGTCATGAATCAAAAAAATCTGACAGTTATTCCTTATATTTACATGCTCCTGATTCTGCAAATTCCCATGCTAATAGCCCCGCTTCTGTCTCTATTTGTCCCGCCCCGCTTGTGATTTTTTTTAACCGCGCCTATCGATGACCCAGTAGATTTATGTAGAAATAAAGTATTTTGACAATTTGTAATTTTATCTCGGACAAAGACATTGGAAATGTAAATATATTACAATATACAGTTCAGAGTGTACAACTAATGAAAATGTCAGAAGAACTTGCTATCTAGGAATTCATTGTCAGTATTTATGTTTCAAACTGAAATCTCTCAGGTAACTCTCACACTGGGTGGAATAATGTTAAAATTCAGTTGTTATTGTGTTTATAACTTCAAAACTATTTTTTTTTATAACAAGAGATCTACATGTATTTACATGAAAGCTTGTGAATACAGACACACAAAATAATTTCTTTTCAATTTCAAAACTCCTTTTTCATGTAAAACGTAATTACTGTTCAATAAAAAATCAGCTTACAGTAAATAGGATATTCTTTTTATCAGTAAAGAAAATGTAACTCGGGTTAGCATTCTGGCCTATGGGCCAGTGTTTCAGCTGTTTCACTTTAAAGAGCTGAACTGTATACAATAGAACTAACCCTCAATGCCTGCAACACCAAAGGCATATAATAAAGTCAATCCAACCGTATTATGAATTCAAATTTCAACACTGGTATCTCAAACTCTCGGATTTCTCTCAAAGTCTTTTGACAGCTGACTGTATGTCACTGTGTTAGAAAAAGAATTTTTTTAAAAAAGATCACAGCAAACATTCATTCACACAATAATGAAATCTGTTCAACCACTTCAACATGATGAAAAAAAATTCATGAAAAAATGTTTTGGGATGAAGTACTGGCTCTTAGTTGTGTCACAAAACAAAACAACTCGAGTAAAATTAAACAATCACTAAATCTACATCAAAATCACCTCTGTTTCTGTGAAAATTATCCACGTCTGTCCCCACTAGACATTGTACTTAAAGAATTCAATGCATGGACTTATTTGAAGAATATCGAAACAAATAGATGCATTAAAATCAACGAATACAAAAAAGGCAGAGTCAGTATATAAAACACTACTAAATGTACTACAAGCAGGCAATAACTTTCTCCAGAAACCGGGGTGAATGTGTCACCACGTGAGGTAAAAGTTCTAATAGGAATACACTAATAATAAAAACAATCCAGGAATCACATCTACAACTTGTCTACCAAGTACATAAGTAATATCATGGACTGGAAAACTACATTAAAGACTGACTAGTAAGAATAATAGAATGATACAAAATCTATATACTTCTAATGTATGTCAACATAAATGCACCAATTCATAAAACAGACATTCCTCTATTAATCATTTGATTACTGAAATGTGACACACACTGTAAATACTTCAAGCTAAGTCAAATTCTATATTTATTAATTTATTAGACATATGGGTACCTCCACCATTTTGAGTAATAATGTCTTCTCCATAGCCTTTTCTTATTAATCTGATCAAATTACAATCATGGCACACTTTAATGTAGAGACTGAACTGAAGGGAAAAAGTATATCTTATATCTTTGCAAAATGACTTTTTTTTCTTCAGAAGATACAAAACAAGCACTCCCATAAGGAGACTAAAAGTCTGAACATTCTGGCTAAACAAGGTCTCTATTCCTGTACGATCAACAGCTGACTAGTGTTAATCCTTGAAGTTAATGACTCTACCGATGTAACAGTACCTAACACATTACACGATGAATTAACAAAACGTACGACTTTCTGATCAACCCTGGAGAATACTGTGTAGAAACTGAGCATGGATTATAACCTTATTATGCTTCCCAGTGGATTTCATTTCGACACTTACATGTACTGTAATTGTTAACTAGTGATCTAACTTAAATATTAAAACTAAAACATTAGAACTGACAAAATCTACTCTACATTCAAAATCTGAGTCCCATTGGACCAGGAACCTAAATAATCTTCACTCAGCAAAACCAAACTTCATTTTTTTTTTAAAAAGTCACCTGATGTCGTTACTGAACAATTTGTCACCAGAACAGTCAATCTCATTGATCTTCAAGCTTCAACAATAACATTTCCTTATCTTTCCTTATAAAATAAACAAAAACAAACAAACAAATAAACCAACAAACCTAACATATGCTCATATTATACACATACAATGTACACTACCTGTAATTAAGTTTCCCATGTCATTTTACTGCTTACAACAAACATCCATAAAAATTAAAATGCTCAAAAATAATGCCACAAAAAATAAAATAAAAAACAAAATATGATTTAAAAAAAAAACCCACACAAGTTAAACAGCAATGAAAAGATATTGGTTTCAGCATCTAAAATTCTTACTACATTCTGACACCATGACACTGGGTTTTCTTAAAGAAGAAAAATCTTACTAAAAAAAAAACACGGGGAAAACAATGTGGTTGATGAGGTTTTGAATGGATGTGGTATTGGCAGTTTTGAGTCATTCCTCCTCAGAGAAACGAAGCAGTACACATCATGTGTGGTGAAAAGTTGTACACATTATAAACACATTATAATCATGTATCAAGACAATGGATTTATGGAGGGTATCATGGATGAAGATAAACTGTGTGTCAGGACAACCTCTCTACAAAATGCAGAGGAAGATGTGAGGAGAGAAATGAAGTCCTATTCAGACTGTCCGAGTCCAGACACGACACAATCTTCTCCCAGCAGATTTCCTGAAGACTCGGCGTAGTCAGCCAGATCCTCTGTAAACAATTGGTTCGGACTTTGTCTATTTTGGACACACCCCCAAACACATACATACAGCCCTCCTGAAAAGTTCAGTTTTAAAATATAAGCATTAAAGATTAACATAAAGCTACAGGTATTTTCTATCTTCAATATGGATCATTTACAAACTTCATTTACAGGTATAAAATATCACAATCATAAAAGTGGACAAACACCTCTTAGTATCAACATAGATAGTCAAGGTCTTTCATTATTTTATTTTGGAAACCTTAAACATGTATACACCACAAGATATATCTGTCTCATGTAAAAACAATGTATTTTTATTAGAGATGTCAACGAGTACCCGGTTAACCGGGTACTTGATCGAACGTCCGAGTATCGAATACAAAAAATGTACTCGGTTACTCGGAAGTGTATTTTTTCTTATTTCAAAGTACATATTTTTATCAAAAACTTAATATCAAAAAATAACTTAAATATGCATACGGTAGTTAGGGTGTCATCATCTACACCTGTGAAACACCCGTTATAGCCTGTGGCTGTGTATATGCAGTAGTGACAATCACCTGGTACACAACTGTTCTCACCTATTGTGGTCCTTAATTTTTGGATGACTTTAATGAATGGTCTTCAAATCATTTTTAAATTATTTAATTAATATACGGTAGCGAAATCGGACATGCATAGAAATGTCGCTACCCACTTCAAAATTGAAGAAGTATTTAGAAATAACTAAAGATTAAAAAAAATGTTGAAAGTCAGTTTCCGTAGTAAGTTTAGTGTATATGGGGGAAACAACCAACATATGGAATAATATTAGACTAGCGATCCCAACAACGTCCGTTCCTTCTATTTCGCTAGTCTAATCACCACAAACCTGTGCAACAGATTGTCCTCCTTTTGCGTTGATGAAATAGATCCTAAACAAGAACTGTAAACCATTTGTAATTTTTGATGTATTAATTCTTTTGTGTCTATTCTATAAATTAATTTAGTACCATAAAACCATTTCCCTTGGATTCGATTGTTTATATACATTTATAAACGTGATAAAATCAACTTTGGGGTTTAACAGAGCTTAATATGGGGTTCAAGAAAATTAACACACTTGCATTTTTATTTCTACCGAGTACCCGGGTACTCGATCGGAAAAACATCCGAGTAACCGATTATCAAAAATTGACCGATTTGACATCCCTAATTTTTAGCCATTTTTAAAGGGGCCTGGACACAGTTGCATTGCCATTTTGTTTACAATTTTAAATTTCTACTTTTTATTTCAAACATTAACCAAATTGAACTTACACAAAACCTCTTAAAATTCAATGACAATGACATTCTTCATAACATTACATGAACACCTTTGTCTGTCAACAAGACACAGACTCTGTCATTGTTAATGTTTACATTTAACCAGGTGTGTTCAATTTGTTTACTCTGCACACATCACTGAGCACGGACTGACAATACTGATGAGATGGTTTTGCTTTCTCACATATCTACTCTGAATTTTCTGGATTATAATTTTAACATTTTTGATTAATACACAACAAATTTTCTTAAACATTAAGAATAAAATTTACTTGTGAAAGTGCAAGGAGATGTGTCATTTAAATGCATCCCAAAATTTTAAAATAATTTTAGATAGTTTTAAATAGTTTTAAGATAAAAGAAGTTTCTAAACACACTTTTAAAATATTTCAGTGTGAAATGCTCTAGCAACATAAAAGGCATAATACGAGACTGAAAATTTTAGAAAATATTAACTTTAAATCTGTGTCCAAGCCCCTTTAAGATAACAGAACATTATCTTTTGAGTAAAAAAGCAAACACCTTAGAAGTTCTTTTATCATATAATTTATCATATTGTAATATTTAAGGTTGTCTGTCCCTCAGGTTCTCTGAATCAGCAGTAAGTTGCTTAAGGAATTCACTTTAAGTTTAAATTCACCAAATAAAGTGCATATACTCCTATGTTTATGTTCAATCAGTAATTGTCTGTCTTTATAAGTACACATGTACCTGTTTTCATGGAGGAAGCAGTCGAGGTCAGATTTTAGGAACACTGCTTTCATAGTTCAGTGTAAAGAAATGAACATTAAAAAATATTTAAAAATCTTTTCGTCAGTGATTACACAAGAAACACAGTGTAGTGGATCTTCATTTTTATGATGATAATGTACACAAATTCTTACAGTTGCTTAAATTTACAAAAACTTACACACTGTAAATGGAACCCCTAAACTCAAATGGACCTATACATCGTGAATCAAACTTTCTCTAAATGAGTCCATACATAATAAATGGACCACTATATATGATTTACAGTTCTGTGAGTGTACTTACATGTAAATGAATCTCTGCATTGTAAGTGTACAAGTAACTTTATACAGAACAGTTTTATAAATGAGGCATTGTTACCATGTTACCTGAGTAATGTCAGCTGAGTGGAAGTACACAGGAACTTGTAGAGATGAGGGTAACTTTGTCCATGTGTACGTCTGTAGGGAGAACTTCCAAATGTCTCCAAATATTGTATGTGTGTCAAATCCACCACATATGTACACGTCTAGCAAAATAAAAACCAGTGTTACAAGATATCATTTTTAGAGTTTCATTGGGATATGACATGAAGTTGGTCATGTGATCAAATCCTGTAACGCCCAATTTAGATTTGATCACATACCAACTCCATGTCATATCCCAATGAAACTCTAAAAATGATATTTTATTTCTTACATTTATTTTCTAGACTCTGTTATGGAAATGCAACTAATATACATGTATGGTGTCATGTGACGTCACAGTCTAGACATTCCAAATGTCTTGTGCAGTCTGCTTTTTGTATGCAAGAAAGTCTGATTGTGTGACCAACTTCATGTCGTCAAAAATTGAATGTCAATTTTGTTAGTATCACTTAAGGAAAAACACCGGCAAATGTAAATATATCTGAATAAATATTGTCTGTTTGTCAAATCCACCACAGATGTACACATCTAGTAAAATAAAATCAAGATGTAACATCTAAAGAAATACTGTGTCCTATATTAAACACATTAAATACAATAAAACAGAATCTAGAAATGCATTTGAATATATATTTTGTGACTGTCCAATTCTTGGGAGAATTAATTTTGCAATTATGTCAAAGTTGCAAAAAATATAACAGTAAAAGGTAGACGGACACTTCGGCCCAACGACACCTCGGCCCGTCACGTTTGACACCTAGGCCCTGACAGGTCGGCCCAAAATTACTGACACCTCGGCCCATACTGAAGACACCTCGGCCCAAGGATTTTTTATTTATTTTCAGAATTATTATCTGTATTCACTATGGTAGTATAAATGTATGTATGTATAATGACGATATGTAAATAGGAGTTGATAATTTCAGAATTTTTGAACGAATGACAGCATAGATATCAGTGAGTATCTATTGAGTGGGAGGTAAGAGGTCTACTTATTTATTCATTTTGTTGCTTATTACAATGCAACTTTATTCATTTCATGATGTTAAGAATTCTTTTTTTTTGGTTAGGATATGTTAAAAATTGCATATAATCTAACATTTATTTTCACTTAAAAATTTTCTGAGGGTCTTTAAAAAAACTAACTGGTTTTCAATTTTTTTTTTTATATTTCATTAAACTAATCCCTATACATGCATTTATAAATTTAAAATATGATTAAAAAAATTTAAAACGAAATCTGTATTAGTTGTTGACAAATGTATTTCTATCAAAAATATCAAGCACCCAATGATGGACCTAAGTTCACTTGATTGACGGGGGTACACAGACCAGATAAATCTGAAGGCAGTGCTTATCTGGAGCTTTAATCCTGCTCGTAATTAACTCCTCATTGTCACCACCCCATATGACTCTAAAGGATGCGCCGCGTCTTCTTGTTTGTTTAATGATTAGCACTTTGAAATGGATTATCTTTTTTTAATTACCGTCAATTTACTCTCGGAAGATCATTCATTTTCTTTCTCGCTTCATGGGTATATAACAATATAATCCGTCGCATAATCCTTGTATAGTCCCTATCATAATAAAATACTTCAGAATATATTGAATAAATATATTCAAAATTATACATTTTTGTTTGTGTCGAGGTGTCTTTTATGTGAGCCGAGATGTCTAAAATCTTGGGCCGAGCCGTCGGGGCCGAGGTGTCAATGGGCCGAGATGTCGTTGGGCCGAGGTGTCGTTGGGCCGAGATGTCTGACATTCCAGTAAAATATTCCAATTCACAGCTATATAAAATGTTTAATAGGTTTTATGGATCAAAAGAAATTACAAATAATCGTAAACATAAACCAGAAGTCTCTGACGAGACTGTAGCTCTACTGGTTGTACTTATAAAGGAAGATAAAAGTAGCACTTGGACTTGATGCAACAGCAGTAAATAGAAAAATGATCCTTGGTGTAGTCTCTTTTTGTGACAAGATTTATTGCAATCTAAAACTGTATGTAACACAGTCATCTACATCATTATATAATATTACACAATCTATTTTGATTAAGAAAATATAAAAATATAAATGATTTCTATATAAATGATTTCTTATTTAGCAATTATTAATTCTACATTGCTTAAAGTGATCTATGTTATGAGAGAAATCTAAGCACATAAGAACTAGAACACAACCTTGGTCAGTGACCTTGTTTACTCGTAAACATTTTGTTTATTATTGATGGTCAGTTAGAGCGGACCAACCGTAAACCTTGTTTCAACGCAGTAATTTATATTACAGATCACTTATTTCTATTTTTGTGTATTTATGGGTATTTGTTAGACTTTCAGTCTCCTAGATATGGTAGATCAGAGCAGTTATCAAGTGCAAGCTGGTCATCTCTATTAATTATTGCTGGTCACTCCAAATAAATATCCTGAGACTAGTACATCTGGTGGTCACTTCGACAGTTTATGGTCACCGAGGAAACCTAAGTAGGACAAAAGGCGGGACCACTGGAGTCCATTGAGGTCAACCGGACATACTGTGATGGAGCGTCCTTGGATACGAGATTAACGTGGGCAATACGAGACTTGGTCATCACCAATAGGACAAGGTCTTTCTAAGGCATTGGAGTTTGATGTCAGTAGTATAAATGTTACCGCACAGTGAATTTTGTGTGTTCCCCCGACGCTCTCCGTATAAACAACTACCAAGAACTTTTCTGTCTGTGAGGGAAACCCAACTTACGTCTCCACAGGATTACTGGACTTTATTAAATATTTGATTGGCTTGGACGTTTGCTAACTCTATTTTACTCTATGAACATTTTAAAGTGAAATGCATTTGTTTGATGTTAAAGAACTTTGATCAGATTATTTTTTTTATTTGTTAAATTGCGCGAATCTTTTTCACAAGTTTAATTCAAGAACTTTTTGACAATTTAAGATCTTATTGATATTTTAAAACACAACGCAAAGTACTCTTTTATTGTTGTTTCACTACACGGTAATAAATTCAATTATACCTGTTGATAACTCTTGTGATTATTATGTCATAATTGCAATTGTCTTACATGTAGGAGGAGTAGCCTTTTAAAACAATTTTACAGAAATTTCAATTTAAGTAACCATAGCAACATCGTTCAACAAAATCAAAAAACAATATAAGACAATTATGTATCTAAGTGTAGTCTACTTGTATGCCACATTATACTGAAATCAGACAAAAAGTGTAGGAGGAGTAGTGTTTGAAAATATTTAAGAAACTTCTATTTTTAGTAACCATGGCAACACCGTTCATCAAAATCAAAAACTGATATAGAGAATTATGTATCTTAGTGTAGTCTACTTGTGTGCCAAGTTACATTGAAATCAGACCAAAACTGTAGGAGGAGTAGCGTTTTGAAAAATTGTTTACAGATGAACAGACAGCTAGACAGTTAGACGGACAGACAACGGACACCTTACTATCGCATAAGCTCTTCTGGTCTCTGACCGGTAGAGCTAAAAATCTGAATTATCAAATCACAAAAAATTTCCAACTAAAGAAAATTCACTTTTTTACGTCATTAAAAACAAATCTAATTTCTTTTGATGAATGGTTAGTTCTTACCTTGTTTGAATTTTACACAACTGTGACATTTCCTAAGAGGAGGAAAACCTGTGAGGAAAATTAAAATAAACATTTCTTATTGTAAATCTATATATTGTCAACAAATTCTACTTTCAATGCCACCCCTATCAAATTTCTATAAACATCATTGTTATTTTGTGAAAATTCCAATATTAGTATAACTACAGACCAGTGATAATTTATCTCAAAGTACAAATGTTTTAAACAGATTTTTCCAAATGTAACAAAACTGAACTCGAATAAAGAAGAAACAATATACATTTCTTTGAATATAAGATAATTACATACTTTTTTTGGCAAACTTGGAAGAATTACATGTATAAGATTACCATGTTTGGGATCTGGAATGGACTTGATGTTCTCCCATTTACAGGTTGGAATGTGGAACGCTGGAACCTACAGTAAAACAGACAGAAGGTTACTGGAACCTACGGAAAAAACAGACATAAGATAACAAGGATGATGCCTTCACAGATATACATGTACAGGGACATCTGGTACTGAGGAGGGTGCTGCAACTGTGACCATTAGAGTGAATTTTCAGCTTTTCCAATTTCACTTTCTTATTTATTCAAATCCAAAAATGGACAAATCATTCTTTCAAATTTAAATCCAAAAGTGGTCGTATTCAAATCTAAAAGTGGACAGATCATTTGAAATCTTATGCATTCAAATCCAAAAGTGGACAAATTATTCTTACGTATTCAAATCCAAAAGTGGATGAGGCTGTTCCACCACCAAACACATACAGACGATTGTCATGGCTAGCCACCTCATGTCGATACCTGAAATAAAACACAAGTAGGTCCCCTTTAAACTTCCTTAAAAATTCATTTATCACTTATTTAAAACAATTTCATGGTCTCTAATTGGCAAAATTCAGTTTTGTTTTAAATGGCAGTGAATAAGTTACCATATTCAAATTTTACCAATAATAGTGTCTGAAAGTTTTTATTTTCTGTACAGTTACCTGCTCTCTGGAACAAAGTCTGACTGGGCAGGTAACTCCTCCCAGGTCAGTGACTGAAGGTCAAGTCTGTGAATGTGAAGGTCATACGTGTACCCTGACGTCCCACCACACACGTACATGTGCTTGCCGATCTTTGTCAGTGTCTGTTGATTGAATATGAGAGATTTAACATTTATACTGTACATTTGCTTGCTGATCTTTGAGCATGTTGAGAGAGTCTGTTGATTGAATATGAGATATTTAACATTATACTGTACGTTTATAAATGTGCGCATGTAATTTACTGTTTTCACTGTAGTACATGTATATAACACTGAAGTAAACACTGTAAGGAACTTATCTTTGAAAATGAATAAATAATGTCAGGAAAAGAGGTATAAAATCTGAGAATTCAAAACATATTTTATAAGCATCATTTATTTTTTTAAATTAATCTGATTGAGTAGTCAGGCATTCCTTGTTGATTTTCTATTTGCCAACATGACATTACACAGCATAAGAATACAAAGTGTGGGATAGGAAATTGACAAAGAAATTTATCCGGTGATGCATATCCACTGTATAAAGGAGTGAAGACTATTAACCAATCTTCACCTGATATAAAATATACATGTAGATTTCTGACATCTGAGTGACACATGGACATTCTGAAGATTTTAAAGTGATAAACATTAAACTACAGTCTCCACAATATATCTAGATAATTGCCTTATATTCACATGACCATTATTTTTCTGTGTGATACTCACATGACCATTATTTTTCTTTTTGATACTCACATGACCATATTTTCTGTGTGATACTCACATGACCATATTTTTCTGTGTGATACTCACATGACTGTATTTTTTCTGTGTGATACTCACATGACCGTATTTTTTCTGTGTGATACTCACATGGCCATACTTTTTCTGTGTGATACTCATATGACTGTATTTTTTCTGTGCGATACTCACATAACAAATTTTTCTGTGTGATACTCACATGACCGTATTTTTTCTGTGTGATACTCACATAACCATACTTTTTCTGTGCGATACTAACAAGACCGTATTTTTTCTGTGTGTTACTCACATGACTGTATTTTTTCTGTGTGATACTCACATGACTATTTTTTTCTGTGTGATATACTCACATGACCGTATTTTTTCTGTGGAGATTCTCCTGCACACTTCATATGTCTCCACTTCAGTGTGTCCAGGTTACAAATGTTCAGCTGATTACTGCTGTTAGAACCAAAAGGAACCCCGGTCCCTCCAAAACACAAAAGGTTCCTCCCAGACCTCAGGACTGAAGTGAAAAAAAAACCTCATTCATCACACTGTCAGATATATTAAGTGTTTATACTTCAGATGTACAAGGAAACCTGTAAAAGAAACAGCTGTTGCCTCTGAATAACAGCGACATTTGTATAAACGATATTGAAGGACAGACCCAAAAAGAACAAGGAAATCACACGAGCTCAAAATTTCTTTTACAACAGTTTACATGTAATTGGCATGTTGATGACAATGCCTTAGGAAAAGTAAAAGAAAAACCTTCATATTTAAACATAATACCTACCTGCATGTGATGCCAGCTCTATCGGCATGTTACCATCAGTTTCTAGTTTTGTCCATTCCCGTCTTGCAAAGTTAAACTTCCATAACTGTCGTATGATATCAATAAAACTTAAACAACAAAGAATGCATAAACAGTGAGTATTTGGCAAAATGTGAGCTGTCTATATTTGTGATCTTGGCTTTTAGAAAATTGGGTCAATTTTCAGTGCATCTCTATTTTGCTTTGTGAATAATGTCACTGATACAATATATATTATACAAAAAATATGCAGAATTAGACGAAAGAAAATACAATTTCTTCTTCTGGATGCAACAATTTAAAAAAAATAAATTGATAAACTGATACAAATTAACTATGAAAAACAGCTGCATGATAGCTACTGTCTGAAATCCAGATTTTTCACCCAAATTTTACCTCTTTGAACAGTGGGTAGTAGGTATCCTCTGTGTTTGGAACATTCAGGAACTTTGGGTTATAGCCTCCCAGTACATAAAGGTTACTGTCGTCTACCACGACTCGATGACCACTTCGTGGAAACAGAAAATCTGAAAATGGGTGTATAAAAAACAAATTATGATTCATACAAGTCAGAAATAAGCTTTCTGTTTAAAGAACAATATAACTGAGTAACAGGAAGGGAGAAAATATGTGACAAATCAGACCAGGATTTGAAACCCGGTCCAATAAACTCTAGAAGCTGAAATACCATATGAGCTAGACACTGGCTGACCTCGACTGTTGTACGTACAATGTGTATAGTTTCACACATTGACACATTCACAAATATAAAACTGAAATATTAGTGCAAAAGTAAACTGGTAAACCAGCCCTTGCAGTTCATTTTGAGTTTGTGATCATGGTGATGCATGAATTCTTTTGTTCTCTTAAATAAAGTAAATACTCCGATACTTTAGGTAAGTAACACAAAATGCGGCTAACAAAGATCTTTAAACGCAATTAATTTTTTATCCTCCCCACCCCCCCCCCAACAAAACTTTCACCTATAATGTTTAAATTCATGTGTTTTGAGCAATGTCTTTTATTTTAATCAATCATGTTAAAAAGACTTAATTTATTTTTTAATATCATAAAAGATATTATAAAAGATATTATGATTTGTGAAAAAACCGTTATACTAAAAACAAAATAAAAAAGGATACACAGTGTTTATATATGTGTAGTTGGTATCCTGGAGGTTATACATGCATCAAATAAGTCAATGAATTACCTCTCTTTTTAAAAGGGTTTCCCCATTCACTGAAAATAATAATGAATCGAGAAAGTACAGAACGCCAGTGATTGATGCAAGAATCACTTAAATCAGAACCACAAACTGTTCTAGACATTGAGACCTAGGACAAAATGACCCAAGACAAAGTACTTGCCCAGCTCCAATACTGACTGGCCCTAAGCCATATATTTTATTCTTATTTTAGAAGATTATTCATATCAGCAAAATTCAAAACACATGTATTTTCATTTTTTTTTTTACCACACAGAGACAGATATTGATATGAACAAATTTATTCACATAGATTGTGCCATCAAAAATCATAGATACTCCGTAAAAATGCACAACTTGCAATTAAAAATGTCAGGGTTTCTAATTTCATGTGTTTACAAAGATCTACTTTTATGTTGAACTTCCCTTTCTTCTCTTGGAACATAACATAAGTACAAGATTCTTTTCCTGGCCCTCAATGGCTTACTTTTACCCTTCCTCAGCTTAAGAAAAAAAGAAGGCATGAACCTGAAACTCATCGGACTTATATCTTGTGTAAGTGTTGATATATAAGCCATTCATTTATTTTTATTTTTAAAAACAATACATGCAATAGCCAAATAAAAATTAAAAAGTTGGCAATTGACCTCAATGATGCACATTTAAATCATCTGTAAATTATACACAGTGTAACGATGCTCTAGTCTAGGTTTTACTAGGAAGTATTTTCCTTTGTGTAATCCATACCGATCTGAATGGAGTCTAGTGTTAACCAGACAAGTATGTAAACTGTATTAGGACGGCACTCCAGGTGGCTTTCATTATCTCATGTCTCTCGTGGATAACTCAACATTCACTTCATTATTATAATAATTTCTTGGCAATTTGAAAATACAGTAAAACACGGTTATAACAAAGTACCAGGGACGAACAGTTTTGCTTAGTTATAAGCGTAATTCATTATATCTGTTTTAAGCATGTTAAGTGTTCAATATATTTTAAAGTCAAGGGGAATGAAAATCACTTTGCTATATGCCTCAATTCATTATAAATGTGTTCGCTATAAGCATGTTTTACTTTACTTTGATCATGTTAATTGTACAAATTTTATATTATAATTACAACATCCTGTTAGTATTTTCAATACAGCTTGCCTGCATTATCAGCACCTGTTTGTAATATATACCAACATTATAAAAGTGCTCACAATACAGTGTTATCAGTCGGAAACTGTGAATAGATTGCATTCTTTTTACTTAAACTAGTTCCGTCATGTTCGGGGAAAAGTCTGCCTAGGGCTGCTTTCTTAAACACACCTGCCGCGTCAAGTAATCCGTTACAACCGTGTACCGATTGCACAATCTGTCAGATCAGCTGTTATTCATCAAGTCGTTTCTCCTAACTGCAAGTTTGCAAAATCTCATTTTTGTTCTAATATAAAAAAGTATACATACCTAAATTGCTTCTGTCGATATTTTCCGTAGCTTCGTCGTCTTGCTCTGGAGATCCAAATTTTTCTACGACCAGTCCCCTAACTGCCATTTTCTAAGGGCGAATTTGTTTCTCAAAAACTGGTTTTAGTTTCGAACCAGTTTGGTTAACCGTTCATTTGTTCCTCAAACTGGTTTTAAACTAGTTTCAACCCAGAACCGGTTTTCCATTTGTTTTTGCTGTAACCGAAACCAGTTCCTTGAACCAACCAAACCACCTCCGATGGTGGTTTATTCGGTTTACGAAATAGCGGGAAGCTTTTCCAGCATGGCGACAGCGTCTGCAATATTGCTGAAATGTGCTGTCTGCTCTTTTGAAACGGAAGTAATTCCGGAGTTTGAAAAACATTTTTGTAAGATAATTGATTCTGCATTTATTTGATTTGAATGTAACAAAAGGATTTTCTTGTTAATAAAACATCTTTCAGTTATAAAATCCAAAAAAACCAGCATTTGTATGGGATAGAGGAAATTCTAGTTACAGTATAACTGATGAACAGTAATATATACTTATAGTGATATGGTCTGTCAACAAATATATCTTTACGTTGACAATTTTCATTTACTGACAGAGAATTTTAGTTTTTAATGTTAAATTTCTGAACATTTCTCACAAAGATTCATTGATTTGAGCAGTATCATTTATATTTGCTTTACTATTATTATATACCTTTTTCATAGGCTCTACCAACAACAATGTAGTTCAAGTGAAAGAGTTGGTGTCAAAAAAATATCATACGTTAATTTCAGAAGAATTTCTTAACACATATGTGTTTGAAAATGAAACTGAAGCCAATAACTTTAGAGAGAAAGACCAAGGGAATGATGATAAGGCAGTTATGGTTTTCAACAAAACCAAACCAATTTACCCAAAAGTTAACGAAAATTTGTCTGTTTTTGGAAAAGAATTTGTACGAAATACAAAACCATGGGTGGTCAATCTCCTTACTGATTGGTGTAGATTCGACGAAGTTATATGCTGCAAATCTTCAAGATACTCTGAGGCCAATGAAAGCACTGAAACAACTGGTAAAAAATTTATGTCTCTAATTATATAATATATCTATATTTTTAATTCAAAGTGAAACATCATAAAATGCTGAGTTTGTACATTGTATATTTACCCATTTATGTCAAGCCCCTGATAATATTTGCTATCCCCATGCTTGAATACTACTTAATATGCTTTGAACAGAATATGTACATAATATACCAGTCATGATTTTTTTCCAAATTATTTGCAGATGAAAGTAAAACAGATGTACCAAGTACCAGCAATAATTCATTATGGTCTGATATACCAAGTACCAGCAATAATTCATCAAGTACCAGCAATAATTCATCAAGTACCAGCAATAGTACCAGCAATAATTCATCAAGAACCAGCAATAATTCATCAAGTACCAGCAATATTTCATCATGGTCTAAAGTTGCAACCAGTCATCTAATAGAATTACACACCATGCATTCTGCCAAATTCACAAAACCCTCTATGAAAAAGAAGGAAGTTTGGAAGATAATTTGTTCTGAAATGCACAACAGGGGTTTCTCTTTCACAGTGAATCAATGTGAACAGAAATGGAAAAATCTTACAAAAGCATATAGAGATTGCGTTGATCACAACTCAAAATCAGGCAATGAACGGAAAGAATGTCCATTTTATAAAGAACTAGAAGACTGTTATGGGTATAAACCGAATGTTAAACCCGTATTCACTCTAGGAACACGCAAGGAGGATGAAACCGATAACGAAGAATCAAAGGCAGAGTCAACTTCAAGTGACTGTGATGTGACCCCCAAAAGAAAGAAGAGTAAGCAGGCAAGTGAAATAGTAGAAATCTTGGATGACATGAGAAAAGAACACAAGGAGATGATGAAGACACTGAAGGAACAACATCAGAAGAAAATGGAAAATGAAGAAAAAAAACTTGAAATAATGGCTCAGTTGGTTGAAGCCATGAAAAAATAGTAACAGTAGTAACTATTATGTTATCTTTTAGTGTAAGAAAGATTACTTAATGGTAATTTCTGGCAAGTTAGCGGACTGGTTTGTAGTTGACAGGAGAATCTGATACGACCATTAGTCAATTTTTCATGCCTTGTTATTATCAGATAAGATTATTTCATTGTTGATGAAAGTTCCTATTGTGGTATATTAAGTAAAGACTTAAGTAAGTTTTTAGTATCAAGTTTGTCTGGTCTTGGCTGTTGTCACTGTTGACTTTCTTTTGATTTAAATATTTATTATCTTCTGTAGAACCCAGATGATTATCATAAATAAAGCTTTTTTCTTAAATTTGAAAATGAAAAGTATGGAGACTATTTTTAAAAAGTTTTAAATATTTGAAAATTGTTTTGTTCTTCAAGGAGAAATAATTCTTTGGCCTTTAATTCCACTGTTTGATGCATGTATTTTATAAGGCTTTAGAGAATAGATAAATAATTTGAATTTGTTCATAATAGTGGTCAGAAATCAAAATATTAAAAGTTTTCTCTTCAAAAATGAGTTTTGGTTAATTTGGTTATTAGTTTTAGAATCATTAGAAAAATAGTTAACATGTATTGTAAGGTAAATTATTAAACATACTGTAAAGTTGGTTTGAATAATGGAAATCTAAAGTACATTTACCTGTGTGGACCTATGATAATCCAATTGTTTTAAATTATTACAATGTGATTACTAGTAGTCATCCATTCATAAATCATGATGTATACAGTATACATGTATCAGAATGTTTTGTAAAATTATTTATATAAGCCCTTGAGTATAATAGAAGGGGAGCACTAGCTTCAAGACCGCATTATTTTGAGGAAGGTATCCTCTGTCTTTGATTTATTTTTGTGTTACAATAAAATTTAATATACCTGAGTTTTTATCTTTCCACTGTGTTGAAAAAAAAAAATTCAGAATTTGATCATTGATGAATATTTGATGCATTAATATAAATACTTCATTTTAAGTAAGATTAACAATGAACAAATAAACTTTTTTTGGATTCTTTATTAAGAAAGGAGTTTCAGTTTCTCATGCATGTGTAATTTAGATATGTTTTTCTGTTCATAACAAGGTGCCTACGTTGTATATGAACAGGAAAAATATTATAACATTCTTGCAATACTATCCCTCTTTTCTCCTGCAGCATTATTTACACATAAAATTTGCACAAAGTTGTTGACTTCATCCTCTCCTCCCTCCTCTATATACTCTACACAATCATCGTCATGCTGTAGACAAAATTCGTGCAATACACAGCAACTGATCACTACTTTTACAATTTTTTCAATGTCCTGAATGTCTACAAATTTTAAGCGGCGAAATCTTCCTTTTATGGCCCCAAAAGTGCGTTCAATTACCATCCTAGTACTGCTGTGAATATAGTTGTACTGATACTGACTTTGTGTTAGGTTTCCACGGTCCCTGTAGGGAGTCATCATCCACATTTCAAGACCATAAGCAGAGTCCCCCAAAAGGTGTGTATTGTTGGGAAACATCCCCTCTGGGTCTTTCTGAATCCTTTGGTACAATTCTGAATTTTTAAAAACTCGGGAGTCATGCACAGATCCCGGCCAACCACAGTTAACATCTAATAAATGCATTTTTGAATCACACACGGCCTGAAGAATGACAGACGGAAATGACTTTCGATTAATGTAGTTTTCTGGACAATGATTTGGAGTTTTTATAGGTATGTGACTACCGTCAATGGCACCAATTACAGCAGGGAAATTTTTTAAATCTTTAAACCCTTTAACAATGTTGGAAACTTTTTCACCATCTGGCCATTTTATGCATTGCTGCAGAAGTTCACGGCAAACAATGTTTGCGAGGCGCTTTACAATATCAAAGACTGTATATTCACATACTCCGAATTGGTCAGCAATAGCTTGGATTGTCATTTGTGTTGTCAAATAGCGTATGAAAATTAATAACTGTTTTTCCATTGGTATAATTGTTTTCTCTTTAAATTCTAAGAAAATTGTTAAAAGAGATGAAAATGTTCCTGGGCTCATTCGAAACCTTCGTCTAAAAACTTTGGAATGATCTCCTCAACATAGTTAAGCGCTCGAGGAATTCTGATCCGACGCTGAGGAATCAGGGTCATAAGAGCAGAACACATTGAAGTATGCATTTGGAGTTGAGACAATAGACCAACTTCATGATCTTCTAAGTTGCTATCATTTTCTAAAAATGCAGAATTAATAATCATGCAAACACAGGCATGTTTGTGCCTTTTAGACGCCATCTTTATGTCTAAACTGTTCATTTGTTTTACCGAGGCAAACCGGATTGAAACTAGAAACCAGTTTGAAAACTAGTTTCAAACTATAAACCAAAACCTGAACCAGTTTAAGCGCAACAAATTCGCCCTAAGTTTTTTTCTGTCATTGAAAACGTTCATCTGACCGTGATTCAATAACTGTTAAGATTTTATATTATCACTTTGCTGATTGGTTCATCTTTCCAAGTATGTCCAATCAAAAAGATCGTATCTAATTGGACTCGGTATAAAGTACAAAATGGAGAATTTTGTAAACAATAAACGAATTTCAAGTTGCAGTGTAATGTATTGTAATTTACTCCTGAATTTTCCAATATTGATTTTTTTTGTCATCTTTCTCGAGAGATGACACATTAAGTTTGTAACCCCGGATATGAAGCCCCAGTGTAAGCTGCCATTGATAAGCTGGTGGTCTGGCAAATGACACGATTTCTAAATATAGATATGTAAACAAAACTGCTCAAAGACGAGGAATGGGCGATCTGTCAAACAGGCCATCTTAAAAAAGAAAAACTACACATAAATCATAGAGAGTCAAAGAGACAATATCGCTTGGGTAGTGGTGGGTCTTCAAAATACATGCAGTTATCTAATCATGGTCAGCGCGTTGTGTATAAGAATGCACTAAACATGGCATCGATTAGAACGGCCAAGGCGTGGATCAAAGTATTTACAGAAAAACAAAGCGGGGGGTCTTCAAATAACTTGCAGTTATCTAGGCTGTTACGTAAATGATGGCCAGTGCGTGTGTTACATGGCATCGATTAGATCAGCCAAGGCGTGGATCTAAGAATTTACAGAAAAACAAAATCAAAGTAAATACTCGCATTAAAAGTTTAAATACGACTGATGTGAATTGATGTCGAAAATTTCACCTTTATGTGTATCTTAGTCATTCAATAACCTGATGCCATTTTTAATTTTTTTTTTAAACAAATAGTTAATGTTAAAACTACAGGCATTGGAAGAAAGATTATATAATCATTGTGAATTTTTACGCATGTCTGCACTATTCTTTGTTTTTTGTTCTGTAAAAAGTAAATGTCAGAAATACAATATTGTTACCTTTGTATAAAAGACGGAATTTCTTTACCCGACTCGTATTTTGAGAATTTATAATTATAGCATCTGCAATCATTTTCTTTGTGTAATTTTAAATTGCATTATTGGTTAGTGTCAAAAAAGCTATCAAATCACTTCTGTTATACTTGAAATATTATTTAAATTGATTGTTTCCTTGAACAGCCTAAATATCAGGGTTGGTAAATTGGTACTCTTTCAGATAATTTGTAAATGCCTAATTTTAGCTTATACCGTGTTAATTTTATTACTGACCTATATTTAAATGCATGTGAGGGTTATTTCTTTGGATAAACCATATATTTAAAAGTGGAAAATCTTTCGAAATCAATTGAGGGTCATTGTCGTATAGTGAGACTTCCCCATAGTGAGATTTCCCCGGAAGACTGGCTATGTAGTGAGATATACCCCGGGAAGACTGGCTATATAGTGAGACTTCCCCCCGGAAGATCGACTGGCAATAGAGTGAGACTTCTCCCGGGGAAGTCTCACTATATAGCCAGTCTCTCCCCCTTTCATAGTGAGACTTCCCCTCAAATGTAGTTTCCGGAATATTTATTTCATTGTAAAACAATATTTTTCAGTATATGAATAAAAGTTCTCCGTTAATTAATAATTAAAACATCTTAATAACCTTTTAACAGTTTGTTAGCCAAAAATAATTATGGGATGACATGTACATGTATATTGATGTGAGATAACTGAATGAAAAATGTACGTTATTGTTACAAGTATACATCTTTCTTTACTATATTGTATTTATTGCATTCCCCATGAAGGTTAACATAAGCAAATTCCAAGAGTCCTCGAGTAATGATCTCTTAAATGTTAAATGTATTTCTTTTGATAAGAATCATTTTGGAACAATGCAATTATTTACTGTGCACGATAAATTTTTAATGCGCACTTCTATATTTATTCATACATGTATCTACTTTATAAGATCATTATCAAAATGCAAGTATATATACATCGTCGATGTAAATAAAATACAACTGAACATGGAAGTGGGAAGCCTCACTATGGTCGTTTAGGGGGGAAGACTCACTATATAGTAATTCTCCCCCCCCCCCCCACCGGGGAGTCTTACCGCTATATATAGCCGCATTTCCGGGGGGAAGTCTCACTATGGGGGTGGGAGTCTCACTATATGACACCGGACTAATTCAAGTTAGCGCTTTAAACTTCTTGGCTGTTGTCTGAGTAAGCTGCTGTGATGTAAAGTCAATAGGAACGCTAAGGTTTTACCCATCCTCTTGTATAACAATTGTTTACAAATTTTACGAATACTGCTCAGTGGTTACATTTTTTAAACACATATACAAAAAATATTTGAAATTACTGTTGGAAATGTTTACTGAAAGGCAGCTTGCCTCTACCTTCCCCATTTTTTTTGTTGCAGCATATTCATACTCCCCCCTTCCCCCCCCCCCCCCCAATGTGTTTTCGAGAGAGTCAAAAAGTTTAAATCTTCCCTCCCATCCACGAAAAAGAATTTCGAGTTTGAACACCCTCTTTTTTTCCTAGTGAAAGATTATTCAGGTAGGTTGAAATTTTTTTTCTGACTACCCCCCCCTTTTTTTTGAAAAAAAAGTTCTTCTGCTTGTAATCGCTGAGGAAAAAAAATGTTACATTCCACTGTTTATTCTGTGCCCCCTTCCCCCCTTTTGAAAAAAAGTTCTTCTGTCTGTAATAGCTGAGGAAAAAATGTTGCATTCCACTGTTTATTCTGTCCCCCCCCCCTTTTGAAAAAAAAGTTCTTCTGTCTGTAATAGCTGAGGAAAAAATGTTACATTCCACTGTTTATTCTGTGACATTAATGAAGCCAAAGAGATGACATTTCAGGCTTTCTGGAAAGCCAAACTTGTTTCAGATTAAGTACGTTAAAAACAAAAGTGACCGATAATACAAAATTTCATGTGGAATAAATAGAGTTTTATTGTGAAGGGGTGGACGGGGTGATTAAGACAAAATGCTTTTTGTTCAGTGCTTTGGTCTTTAATATATTTTTTTATATTGAGCACAAAAGTCATTTTGTGGTTGGGATGGGGTACATTAAATCTGAACGCTGAACATAAGAATCCACATTCAAAATCCTATGTGGTGGTGGTAGTGCATTATTAGATAGAACGTTCTATCGTTAAAATGATATTGTCCTACGGACCCGGTGGTGAGGGCTTGTTCCGAGACACAGTTAGATTATTCTATAACTAGTGCATTATGGCCGATGGGGGTAATATTGCTTACTTATTAAAAATAATGAATTAACGTGTAAAAAATATTTACTTTCCATATATTAATATTTCCTTCAATAAATTTATATGAAAAATAATAAGAATTTAATAATTTCGAGTCAAAACAGGGCAAAATCAATAAAAAAAAATCTTATCATAAGTCTGTGACATTAAGAATGCTTTGGGAATTTTGATATACGTGTATAATCATGTGTATGTAATACAATTGGATACACGCAAGTTAGATAGAAAGCAATCTTATTAAAATTAGATGTTAGATCCGCTCGCATACTCGCTACACTGACATCGATGATAGTGTAAAGAGTCGGGCGATTGAAAGGAAAACATTTAAAAAGAGGGAATAAACCAGAAAATATATATACATTTACATAAGTTCTGAGCAAATTTATTTATTGAATTCAAACTGAGAAAATGACAAATTAAAGAAATTAAATCCAATTTTTATTAATTAATTGTGGGGTTAAGTAAATAAATAAAAAAGAAAAATATGCATATTTTCTTAAGTGTATTGCAATTGCTGACAATTTAAGTACGTATGTAACTAAAGTGTTCGATATCTAAAGTAAATCTTTAAGCCTTCCAAGGTTGGTTTTAAAAACAATGGAAATAGATTAATGCCATCTAGAGAAATTATAGATTCTTAATTACACATGTACTAGGATTGACTGACTGGCTGACTTACTCACTTACTGAATTTCTTACTTTTTGACTGACTTACTTACTTAATTACTGACTGACTTACTTACTGATTTAATTACTAATTTACTTCTTTACTGACTAACTTATTGATTGAATTACAGGCTTTCTTACTAACTTACTGTCTAATTGACTTACCGACTATATATGGCATACTTTTTTGACTTATATACTTGCTTACTAACTGACTTAATTATTTATCCTCTTTCTCACTACCCCCCCCCCCCCATGGGTTTACTAGGAATTGTAGAAACTAAATTAATTCTCACTTTTACGGGACCATATTAGTGCATTCTCATCAAACTTAAATGTTCCGAATCAGCTACCGGTAGCCGTTTCGGAACATCTAATTTTGAATTATATTGCATACATGTATAAGTGCATATATGCCAGGTTGGATTTTTTTCTTCTAAAAATTCCATCTTTAAACTTGAATTTTATAAGGAGAAAAAATCCGATGTGGCACTAATAAGCTTTCGTAAACTTTATTGCAATCATTAATTTTTCCTTTGAAAAACCTCAATAATAAGATCTCCTGAAAAATATGGGCTCATCTCTTGTACACAATTGGAAAATAAGCTTTAAGACCATTAAATCTCTTAATTACAACAACTTGATGTGTAAATAATAAACACTGAAATACTTAAAACAGCTGCTTACTTAAAAAAAATAAAGGAACTTAATTGATTTTGGCAATCCAATAAAATTCAGACTTCTTGAAATCCGCGCTATATACACAATGTGTAAGAACGCAGAGTGTATACGGCGCGGATCTAAGAATACCACTTTTGGTGCAATTTAATCTTGCGAGGACTGGAGAGAATTATAAGTCAATAAGATTATCGCTAACAATGTAGCTATGCATGTACAAAAAATATGGTTTTGATGTACTATGTACATAAAATCGAGATATAAGATATAAACTAAAAAAAAAAATCTACAAGATCTCTTTAAACAATCGCAGAATTTTATTAAATAAACTTTCATGTTCGGAAAAAAAACTATATTCTAGTCATCTTTCCATAATACGAGTGTCAACTATGCGTAAATTAACCATTTTTGAAATAGCCTTAATTTTTTTTTTTAATAAATATAAAAATCTAGCTGAATTTCAAATATCAGAAACTGATATTTTAAATTATTTTTTTTATATCATATATGATGGGCCAGACAAATGTTCTACGTACCAAGCCTCTTTCTTTACTCCTGGCTAAAATATATATTAACAGTAGTAAAGGAGAAACTTTAGGAGTACTGTGCAACAATATATTCGAGAAGTGGAAAATTTTGAAATCACAAAAATTTTACCAAAATCAAAAATATAAAAACTTACGACTTTTCAACTTTATATATACAACCATTCCCCACGATAAATTAGAGTCCAGATCTTTTTATATATCATTGACAGCTGCTTTTTCAATAAAAATGGAACTCTTAAATTTACTTACCTTGCCATTGGTCATTTGCAAAATTATTTTGTTAAAAAACAATCTGATTGTACACACACGTACTCTAGCTGAAGTTGATATTAAAAAGATGCTTGAGTCTCTGATTGACAATATCTATGTGATTTTTGGAGACCAGGTCTTCCAACAATCTGTTGGAATTCCCAGACCTTTTTTGTATTCATATGAAGCAGAATTTGTTCAAAATCTTATATGTGAAAAGAAGAAAACACTTGCTGTGGCCTTCAATTCGACATTTAGATGTATCGACGACGTATTGTTAAAACAATGGTTATTTCCATTCTTATGTCAATACGACATATCCCGGTGATCTTGAAATAAAAGATACCACAAAGTCTGACACATCTGTTTCATATTTGGATAATTTACTAGAAAAAAGACGTTAATGGTAATCTAACAACCAAGCTTTATGATAAACGTGATGACTTTAACTTTTCAATCGTCAACCTCCCTTACTTATGCAGCAATATACCTTCATCACCGTGATACGGGGTTTATATCTCTCAGCTGATTCGATACGCAAGAGCATGCTCTACGTATGAACAATTTCTAAAATGAGGTAAGTTAATGACAAACAAGTTGATGAAACAAAAATATCAGCTGTCTCGTTTAAAGTCATCCTTTCGTAAGTTCTATGGTCGATACAATGACCTTGTCAGCAAATACAATTTATCATTAAGTCAAATGCTGACTGACGTTTTTCATACCAATTGTTAGGCCATTATTTACACACTGAATTGTCGACGGATTTTTCCGTTATTTCCCAATCATGACAAGGAGCACACGGCGGGTGTGACCGGTCGGCAGGGGATGCTCACTCCTCCATGGCACCTGATCCCACCTCTGATGTTCAGAGGTCCGTGTTTGCTCTGCTCCTATTTTGTATTGTTTAATGGACTTTTGAGCTTGAATACTGTTCGTTATCTCCATATATATCATATAGAAAAGACGAATTTACTTTGACATTGGGGATGTCAAAGTATTAAACAAATGAGTTGCTTTCATCAATATCACGGTATATAAACATATATATATATTGTCAGCTAGTGTATAAAGTGGAAGACGAGTGAAAGACAAGAACACCCATGGGTATCTGACGATGAAAGTTGACTAGAAAGATCAATATGTAGAGAGAAACATTTCTTTGAAATGAAGCTAAATTTAAAGCAGGGATCAAGATCATACAGAAAATAATGTTTTTGCTTTTTGTTTGTTTGTTTTCATACACATTTTCTCTCGATAACGGGGAAAAGTGACAAACAGACCAAAGGACGTACGTTCACAAGATGGACATGACCAGCGGCAAACGCTGCATCACATGACCCAGCCATATTCATGAGATAATTTATTTTGTAAAAAATATGAATAACAGGTCAATGTACTCAAGATCTTTTTCTATTAGGACGTTTAAATAAAAAAAAGACCGTTATTTTCCATAAAATGGTGTTAATAGCTGTTCATTGTGAAATTTTATATACACAATTCAAAACAATTTTTTTCTGACAATAAATATATAGTTAACAAGAGGCCCATGGGCCACAACGCTCACCTGAATAACTTTGGCCCTGCTGTTCTTCACCAGATTTCCCCCTTGTAATACGTATTGTGGCCCCACCCTATCCCCAGGGATCATGATTTGAACAATTTAAAATTTACACTACCCCAGGATGCTTCCTTGTAAGTTTCAGCTATTCTGACCCAGTGATTCTTGAGAAGAAGATTTTTTAAAAAGATTTTTCCTATATATTTCAATGTAAAGCTTTGATTCCCCATTGTGGCCCAACCCTACCCCCACGGGTCATGATTTAAACAATTGAGAATCTATACTACCCCAGAATGCTTCCTTGTAAGTTTCAGCTTTTCTGGCCCACTGGTTCTTCAGAAGAAGATTTTCTAAGATTTTTCTTATATATTTCAATGTAAAACTTTGATTCCCCATTGTGGCCCCACCCTAACCCCCACTGGTCATGATTTGAACAATTTTAAAACTTACACTACCCCAGGATGCTTCCTTGTAAGTTTCAGCTTTTCTGACCCAGTGTTTCTTGAGAAGAAGATTTTTTCCTATATATTTCAATGTAGAACTTCCCCATTGTGGCCCCACCCTACCGTCCAGGGGTCATGATTTGAACAATTTAGAATCTACACTACCCCAGAATGCTTCCATGTAAGTTTCAGCTTTTTCTGGCCTAGTGGTTCTTGAGAAGAAGATTTTTAAAGATTTTTCCTATATATTTCTATGTGAAATTTTGATTCCACATTGGGGCCCCACCCTACCCCCTGGGGGTCATGATTTGAACAATTTAGAATCTACACTACCCCCGGATCCTTCCATGTAATTTTCAGATTTTCTGACCCAGTGGTTCTTGAGAAGATTTTTCAATGACCCCATCCTATTTTTGTCTTTTCTTGATTATCTCCCCTTGTTAGGGGGCTTGGTCCTTCATTTCAACACCCTTAGATGCTTTGTACCAATTTTTGTCAAAATTGGCCCAGTGGTTCTTGAGAAGAAATTTAAAATGTGGAAAGTTTACAGACGTACGGACGACAGACAACAGGTGATCAGAAAAGCCCACTTGAGATTTCAGTTGAGGTGAGCTGAAAAACGCGAAGGGGACAAATTTAGATACGAAACGAATGGAATGGGCACCTTGCAGTTCGATAGCACTGGTTCTCTGCCCTTGATTCCAGTCGCTGCCGCTAGGAATTAATTGCGCCCGTTAACCAATGTCAGGGTACCAGTCTAGCAGTTCGATTGTTTTCTTCCGATTTTATCGTTCAGTTACGAAAGCTATTAGTTATGAAGGATTTTTCCTGACTGGGTTATTGACAAATCTTTCTTCAGTGTGTGCAATGGAGGAGTCCGCGAAACCAAAGGTAAAAGTTCTCAACGAGCACGGCAAAGCAGAGAAGAATGCCATTAAAGCCGTGGAACTATCGAAAAAACTTCAGAAGACTATGCTAAGGTAAACCACAGGAGTATCCGACTCCTGTGGGTAAACTTCGTAGTTCGTCGTGTGTTTACCAGGTCCGGCACAATCTCTTGATTTAGCTATATACAGTCTGGTCGAACCCCCGAACGGGGGTAAACGGAAATGGGAAATCCATACCCCCAAACGGGGGTACGAGCATGCGCAGATGCTTAAAAATGTGCGTATTTCACGCAAAAAGTAGGGGTTTACAAAAATCGCCTGTGCAAAGTAACGGATTATTTGGCAAATGTAAAACCACTCGGAAATGATAGATTAAAGGTGTTTTTAGAGTTTGTATTTTACAAAAATACAACTTTATTGTACAAATCGGGATTTATTCACTGGCAAAGTTGGCGATCTTTTGCTCCTTGACATGCAGGTATTTAAGATAAAACATTCGATAAACAGACATAAGCAACTAATACTAAATTGAAATTATATAAAAAATGTATTATTCTACATTATATCTTTTATTTTCATAATAAAATGCAAGAAAAAATGGTGCTAATATCGAATTGTTTATGATCGTGGGTTTCAGTCCGCGTTTCCTCTGACAAGCAATCAACGGTCTTTATTATCGATAATCATGCCCAGGAAGTGTAACAAAAATACATATAAAAATAAAATTCAAATGAAATCTATCGTATTTATTGTCTTTTATATCTTATAAGAATTAAATAAAATGTTTGGCAACATGTAGTTTTTTTTATATTACTAAATATGATTGTTTGAGAAAACACGATTGTATTTTATTTTATTTAATTCTAGGTTCTAAATTAATATTTTCTCATTCTTAGAATATTTTTCCTTGTGTTTTAAATTCCACAATCTTAATTTGAGAAGTCCTACAAAATAATAAATAATTTCATGAAATGATGGAAAATATTTCGTTATTCCTACAGTATAAATTCAAACTATGGAAAACTTAACCTGTTAATTTTTTTTCTGTAGAAATTTTACCAATTTCATAGCAGAAATAACATTATTATCGATCTTTTTCCTTAGATAAATGATATATAGGCAAGATTGTTTATATTGGATACGGCAAGAGTTACTGTTCTTGCGCATTGCATGACGGGACGGAAAACCCTCGTTTGGGGGTATACCCCCGTTCGGGGGTTCGACTAGACTGATATAGCTTGATTTAGCTATATAGCTTTATTAAGCTATTCAGAATAGCTTAATTTAGCTATTTTATCACACTTTTTTCTTAAATGTTTTATTTTCTCAGCATGCACAAAAAGTCGCACCTTGGTGCAGTGATAATATTCAACCTTGAACTCTTCTGGAAATAATGCATGTAAAAATCACTCATCAAATTACGTCTCCTTAATAGACTTTGTACTCAAAGTTCTAAAAGTTTTGGGGCTATATAAAGCAATTGATACAGTTACTTCTTCATTGAAATTATAAGAGAGGCCAATTATGGTCAACAAGATAATGGATTGGTAATAATTCCGTACAAAGAGAAGCAATCATACTTATCCATGCCTCAACGCACACAAGGTGGTGTACAGTTACTCAAACAATGGAAATTCATCTTTTGCTTAAAAGTATTCAAATGCTGCAATGTTAGAACTATCTTTGATTTCAGTTGTTGTTTTGATAGCCCATAGTACATATATGAATAGTCTAATACTTGCGACTTTTTGTCTTTTTCTTACAAAAAACATTTTTCTGAAAAACTGCACATAAATAGCTTTATCAAGCTATTTTGAATAGCTTAATAAAGCTATATAGCTTTTTCAAGCTATATAGCTAAATCAAGAGATTGTGCTGGACCTGTTTACCAGGTCCGGCACAATCTCTTGATTAAGCTATATAGCTTGAAAAAGCTATATAGCTCTATTAAGCTATTCAGAATAGCTTGATTTAGCTATTTTATCACACTTTTTTCTCAAATGTGTTATATTTCAAGTATGCTCAAAAAGTCGCACCTTGGTGCAGTGATGATATTCAACCTTGAACTCTTATGAAAATAATGCATGTAAAAATCACTCATCAAATTGCGTCTCCTTATAGAGGCTGGGTGTGGCCATGTTTAAACTATATTGATCTCCTTTAGAAGAAGAGCTCCATATGAAGATATAGAAAATGATCAAATTTTAAAACTAAATTTTTGAAATTTTTCTTTTCCAAATGATAGTTGACAGCTTAAAATATCATATCTAAAAAATTAAGTTAAATCTGGTGGTTAATTTGTGGTTAATTTGTTGACCCCCCAGCCTCCTTAAGAGACTTTGTACTCAAAGTTCTAAAAGTTTCGGGGCTATATAGAGCAATTGATACAGTTACTTCTTCAATGAAATTATAAAGGAAGCCAATTATGGTCAATAAGATAATTGATTGGTAATAATTCAGTACAATGAGAAGCAATCATACTTATCCATGCCTCAACGCACACAAGGTAGTGTACAGTTACCCAAACAATGGAAATTCATCTTTTGCTTAAAAGTATTCAAATGCTGCAGTGTTAGAACTATCTTTGATTTGGGTTGTTGATTTGATAACCCATATTACATATATGAATAGTCAAATAGGTACCTACTTGCGACTTTTTGTCTATTTTGTACAAATAACATTTTTGTGAAAACATCACTGTCTTATTAATCACTTATTACGCTAGCCCAAACAAATATTTACATGCCCAGAATTTTATCAAGTAATTTTATTCTTATTTGCCTTTTCATGCCAAGGAATGATCCGAAATCCAATTCTATTGATCTATTGTCTAGCCATTAATATTGTTTTCAACCTGTACACTTTTTGTGTCTCCTTTGCAAAAGAGTTCCTTGGAAGTCACGTATTGTTTTCAACGTCTATACTTTTTGTGTCTCCTTTGCAAAAGAGTTCCTTGGAAATCGCGGTAGAATAAACTATCGTTAAAATTTTATTTGGTGCTCCACTTTAGATGAAAAATCAGACTTTTAAATACATTTAATGTTATTGGTATTATTTAATTTGATAATACGGAGGCTTAGACCTCAGAATTTACATGCCCTTCGGGCTTGTAAGTATGCAATTTCCACATGCCCGCTTCCAATTTTACCAGGTCCCGGGCTTCGGACTCCCGGGATTTGTCGAAGTCTGAAACATGCATATAAATAGCTTGATCAAGCTATTTTGAATAGCTTAATAAAGCTATATAGCTATTTCAAGCTATATAGCTTAATCAAGAGATTGTGCTGAACCTGTTTACAGAGTACCCAATATATAACACCTTAACATTACATTGTTTCCAGTGTGATGAAAATTAATGACAGTCATCAGAAACATACGTATTTATTATGTACGTCCATGAAATTATTCAATCTGTAAAAAATGCTTCTCCTAAAATAACTAATAGCTGAACTAAATCTGGTAAATGCAAATATAAAATGTAAGTTATGATTTCTAAAGACTCAGGATCTGCAGAGTTGAGAACACTATCAGCTGTAGGTGGGCCTCTGTCAAGACACCAAAGGCCCACATTGTGTCTAACCAGTCGATCATTTTCGGTTTGGTGTGAGACTAACCCTAATTTTTGGTTCTGTTGTGAGGACTTACCCTGCCCTAGTCGAAATCCCCCCTAGTCTATGAGTTTGGTGCAAGACTAATAACTCTAATCAGTCAAGAGTTGTGTGAGATTAACCCTAATCAGTTGAGTGGCAGCACCTAAACTAGAGCAATGGGAGAGTAGATCTTGCTGATCTGGGGAACTGCTTGTGAAGTATGAAGTCTACCCCCTCCAAATTTTCATCAAAATTTAACAGTATTCTTCTTCCAGAACAAGTCATGCAGAAATTCCTTTTTTGGAGGAAAAAAATTGCCTAAACATGCTAAACATTGACCAAAATTTCTCCTTTTGTGTGAAGATACATGTATAAATTTGTATCTTACATCTTTGAGAAAACAGCCTAAAATCTGCTGAAACTGCTGAACTTTGCTTAATATCCTGAAGGACATACTCTTATGAATGATGCAGACTGAGAATGTGTGATGGGGGATCTTAGAATTGATTATTTGTTTTTTAGCTATGCAGGAGAGGATCTAGGAATTAATGATCTGATTATGTGTTATTTATTTCAGTATCAAGGGCGAATGTATAGGGGAGGATCGTAGAATTGACTATGATAAATTAAAGAAAAGTGAAGCATTTAAAGAATACAAAAAGGAGACTTTACAACTACAGTTTGTCTCCCTTGATGACCTCAGTGAAGCAGAGAGGAAGGCCTTCTTCATCAGTATCCTTAAAATTGTGTGCTGAGGGCGATGTTCATGTCAGCAAATTTTAATATTATGCCTCTTCAAGGGAAGTACACTACTGTACAGTATAATATGCTTATAGCAAAGTACTGGAGATGGATGATTTTGCTTCATTATAAGTTATTAGTTAATATTAAGTTCACAATATAATTTAAAGCTTCGGGGAATCAAAATCCTTTCGCTCTTTCAACTCATTATGATCACATTCACAGTAAGTTTTTTACTGTATCTACTTTTATTTCTTGTGAGGTATGTGCTCCTTGGTTTCAACTCGATTGATAAAGACTACAAGATAACAGCTAGTGTAAGTAAAGAGGTTTAATTTATAGAGATCACCAGATAATTGTGTACACACAAACATCAAAGCATTTGTACAGTATTTGAAGCAACTATTAATCATCTAAAACAACTCAAATATCAAATGTGAGCATGGAACACTGTCTTTGGAATATAATCTTTCAATTTTAGCCTTTTAAAGTAAAAATGAAGCTGTACGGTTTTTCCTGTGACCAAGTAAATATTATGCAGTAAACCAACGAAAACCACATGTCTCGTAAACACATAGTAGACAGTCATGCTTTGCGACTCCTTCATTTGATTGGAGAATGGGTTTGACAATAACATCGTCTTGTGTTGAAAAGTGCCTTCCATAAAAGGTAGTGTACCCAACCTGATCAAGCCATAAATTCTGATCTCTTTCCATCATTTATAAATATTTCATGTCGGAGAGGAATATTTTTGCCAGCATTTGTCAACAGCCAGTCAGGTAATAAAACTGAGTCAACTATATATTGCAAAAAAGAAGGCATTGATGTAAATTGATCTCTTTCAAGCCTCTAGCATCAGTGTATTAATTATTCACTAACCACTCAAGTGATTGATCAACCCTTTACAAAGGTAAAAATAAAGTATTTATGTGTATTGTCAAAATGTTAAAAAAAATTATGTAAACATTATTAATAACAAATTTGCACACACGAAAGTTATTTACAAACAATCATGTCAATAGTTTTAAAGAAAATCCTGACATTTAAATCAATTTTTATTTTATACAAAATTAATGATTACTGTTTATTTTTGGCCTCAGTCAACTCATGATAGCTGCTTGCTTACTTTTGTAACAGAAACAATTCTGATCTTGCTAAAAACTTTAATTAATTAATTAACTGCATTAAAGTTACACTTTTTTTTAATTAAAACTTGGACCCTAGACTTGCTAGCAATTCAGAATAATTCTTAATTCATCTAGACTATATCTTAATTCTGATGTTTATTTACATGAAATATTTTTTTTAGTTGTTATTGATTTGTTTAGAGGCAGTCTGTCGAATGGTTTAACCTTGTTAGGTGACATTGTACATATAGAGTGCAATATTTTTAGTATATATATTTCAATTAAGTTGATGCTGATTTTATATGCATGTGACCTGTGACCTCTGTCAGGTTCCTTAACTCTACTCAGACTTATATAAAGCCCTGACCATCCATGGTCTTGCTGAACAAGAATCTCTTCCTAGTTCTGTCCTTGACATTCATCAGTTCTGGAAGACCACTGCCTATAACGTAGGGGGACTAGTTTACAGCCTCGAGGACATCAGGCATGGCATTCTCAGAGGTGAGTCTGACCACCTCCTATCATGTAGGGGGACTAGTTTACAGCCTCGATGACATCGAGCATGGCATTCTCAGAGGTGAGTCTGACCACAGCCTCTAACATAGGGGAACTAGTTTACAGTCTTGATGACATTGAGCATGGCATTCTCAGAGGTGAATCTGACCACCGCCTATAATGTAGGGGGACTAGTTTACAGCCTCGATGACATCGAGCATGTCATTCTCAGGGGTGAGTCTAATTGCCAGCTAGTCTATAATCCACTCATAAATTTGAGTGTCCAATAAATCTTTAATATTAGTTCAAAAGGTATGGAAGTCCTCTCTAAATGTAAAGTAAGTTTTTGAAAATGGAAAAAGGTCAATTTTAGAATTATCAAGATGCAGCACTGTGATCAGATTTGAGTTCTGTTGAATTGATTTTCATATGTATATAAACAAGTTGTGAATTTTTCTTAAGCTTTTGCACAAGACACTGGTGCCCAGGTGTTTGTTTTTGCACACAACCCTTTACTAAAAATCTGGGTATATAAACTAAAAGCTGAGTCAGTTAAAGCATCAGTCTTGAGTTAGTATTTGCAGAAAATAGACATGATAACACAAGCAATGATGAATTCTAATTATGTTTCAGCTCAGAATTATGTTCCACTTAGGAATACAGGACTGGAATATGCCTTACCAACAATGCTTGAAATACAGGATGCCAAGGAATTAGGCTTGAATATTCCAGAACTGATGAGCAAGGACGATTTTGAATGGTTAGTGAATGAGGTTATTCCCATTGGATTGGATTTGGGAATGTACAACATTCCAGAACCCATGATCAAAGAAGATATGACCATCTTATTAGACATGGCACAAGCAATGATGAATCTTAATCCACCTCAGAATTATGTTCCACCTCAGAATACAGGGCTGGAATATGCCTTACCAACAATGCTTGAAACACAAGGTGCCAAGGAATTAGACTCGAATATTTCAGAACTTATGACCAAAGAAGATATGAGGATCTTGACCACTGAGATGTGTCAAAGTTAGTTAAGTTATTTTTAATGAATAAAAAATTAAAAAAAGAACAACTATGTACTCAATAGTAAAACAGGCTATAAAGATGTATTAAAAGTAGGAGAGTTTGTATATTCAGTGTTCTTGTTTTTATTTCTTTAGGTTCTTAAAAAATACACTGCTGGAGAAATGACTGTGTTTATTTCTTATAATTTAATTTTGGTTATAACGCGGTATTTGATTGGATAAAAAATTTACTTTATATTGTGTAAATTGGGTTGCCTACGTCACAATGACTTGCGTCAAAAAACGTATCGATCCGCCGGACGTTACTTTTAAATTTTGTACAATTTGAAGTCATTTTTTACAGGGTAATCATCTTTTTTCTTACACTAAATGAATGAAAATTAAATTATAAGGAATGAATTTAATAGCTACCCAATTTATACGGTATGAAGTGGGTGGGAACAGTTTACGCTTTTTTATAAACCGCGAAGCGGTTTATAAAGAGTGAATGACTAACATGACGTCACAATCAAAGTGCAAAGACGTAGTACAAACTTTAAGGTAGATGTAATGTCTTGTTTTTTCCTTAACCAGAGGAGGGTGTACTAGGTTGACCCACCTATCACACCAAGTACTAACTTGACCCCTATATCCTCCCAAGTATACTAAGTTGACCCATCCATATCCCCCAGGGGTTAAAAACACTCAGTCGACACCCCTATCCAGGATCTGGGGGTCAAAAGTGTACTCAGTCGACCCGCCTGGCTAAAAGTGCACTCAGTTGACCCGGCTGACTAAAAGTGCACTCAGTTGACCCAGCCGGTCATGCCCGTTATTACTACTGCTGTGGCCTTCAACTCGACATTTAGATATATCGACGACGTATTGTTAAAACAATGGTTAGTTCCATTCTTATGTCGATACGATATATCCCAGTGAGCTTGAAATAAAAGATACCACAGAGTCTGACACATCTGTTTCATATTTGGATATTTTACTAGAAAAAAACGTTAATGTTAATCTAACAACCAATCTTTATATGTATGATAAATGTGATGACTTTAACTTTTCAGTCGTCAACTTCCCTAACTTATGCAGCAATATACCTTCATCACCTGTTTATATCTCTCAGTATGATTCGATACTCAAGAGCAAGATCTACGTATGAACAATTTCTAAAACGAGGTACATGTAAGTTATTGACAAACAAGTTGATGGAACAAGAATATCAGCAGTCTCGTTTCAATTCAACATTTCGTAAATTCTATGGTCGATACAATGAACCTGTCAGCAAATACAATTTATCATTAAGTCAAATGCTGACTGACGTTTTTCATACTAATTGTTAGGCCATTATTTACACACTGAATTGTCGACGGATTTTCCGTTATTTCTCGATCATGACAAGGAGCACACGGCGGGTGTGACCGGTCGGCAGGGGATGCTCACTCCTCCATGGCACCTGATCCAACCTCTGATGTTTTGGAGGTCCGTGTTTGCTCTGCTCTAAAATTTGTATTGTTTAATGGACTTTTGGGCTTGAATACTGTTCGTTATCTCCATTATTTCATATAGAAAAGAGGAATTTACTTTGACAAAGGGTATGTCAAAGTATTTAACAAATGAGCTGCTTTCATCAGTATCACAGTTTATATATGTTTTATATATTGTCAGCTCGTGTATAAAGTGGAAGATGAGTGAAAGACGAGATCACGTACCCGTGGGTTTCCATGCGCGGATCGACCTAGAGGGGGGTTGGAGGTCGATCCGGACCCCCCCCCCCCACCCCCTGGAATTTGCAGAGTTATTAAAAGTATATACTGAAGCAAATAAAAAATGACTTTGAGCCCCCCTAGAAAACGTGGACCCCAGTATCACCACCATGAAATAGGGTTTTTCACGTTTGGGTAATGGATTTTGCTTCTTTTTTTTTGTTTTTTGTTTTTTGTTTGTCAAGAAAGAATATGGGCGAACAAGGCGAGCGCAATGCCTATATTGAAATTATTTGCATATGAAATAGCATACACACACTAGAGAGGGCAAAAAGGATTATTTTCTCATACTAAAACACGATTTTTCGATATGAGTGGGTCTTCGCTCCATATTTTTCAAAGTTTATCCTCAAAGTTTGCGAAAAAAATATACATTTTTTGGTCAACAAAAACATGGAGCAAAAGACCCACTATGCCTTAAAAATACACTTTAATGACACAACATTCGCATCTTTCTTGAAAATACTTGAACTCCATTTAGTCAAGGGTCATCACAAACATGATTTAAATGCCACAATTCATCAAGAGCTGTGTAGTGTAGTGGTTAGCGTGTTAGTCTCGAAGGAAAATGATATTCAGGATTTTTATTGCTAGGGTTCGAACCCCACGAATACCACACTACATTTTTATTAACAGAATATTTTTTGCCGAGAAAATTTTCATCAGATAAATTTTGTTAATCATAATTTCATAAATTTCAATAATGAGAACTTTACTCTTAATACTTAATTTACGAACTGATTATGATTTTTATACATCTGAAGCTATAGGCATTCTGTGCGCCCTGTTCACCCATCTCCTTTCCGGGTTTAATACGTTTGGGAAGGGAAATTTAGTGTGTGTGTGTGTGTGTGTGTGTGTGTGTGTGTGTGTGTGTGTGTTTGTTTTTTTTTACTTTTGCTCGTCAAAAAATTTCTAGGTATAGGATTTTTTTTATAGGATTGGAACACCCCCCCCCCCCCCTCTGGAAAAAATTCCTGGATCCGCGCCTGGGTATCCGACGATGAAAGTTGACTAGAAATATCAATATGTAGAGAGGATCATTTCTTTGAAATGAAGCTAAATTTAAAGCGGGGATCAAGATCATACAGAAAATAAGTTGGGTTTTTTTCTTGTTTTTGTTTTGTTTGTTTTGTTGCTTTTTTTGTTTTGTGTTTTTTTTCTTTATATAAACATTTTCTCTCGATAATAGGGAAAAGTGACAAACAGACCAAAGGTCGTACGTTCATGAGATGGACATGACCAGCGGCAAACGCTGCATCACATGACCCAGCCATATTCATGAGATACGTTAATTTATTTTTTAAAAAATATGAGATTAACAGGTCAATGTACTCAAGATCTTTTTCTATTTTTTTTTTTCATAAAATGTTGTTATTATAATAGCTGTTCATTGTGAAATATTATATACACAAAACAGTTTTTTCTTGACAATAAATATGTAGTTTAAACCGAGAAGGGGGCAAATTTAGATACGGAACGAATGGAATGGGCACCTTGCAGTTCGATCGTAAATACTCGGTTATTTTCATTTAGATTTTATCGTTCATGGAAATGGCCGAGTAATTACGAAAGCTATTAGTTATGAAGGATTTTTCCTAACTGGGTTATTGACAAATCTTTCTTCAGTGTGTGCAATGGAGGAGTCCCCGAAACCAAAGGTAAAAGTTCTCAACGAGCACGGCAAAGCAGAGAAGAATGCCATTAAAGCTGTGGAACTATCGAAAAAACTTCAGAAGACTATGCTAAGGTAAACTTCGTAGTTCGTCGTGTGTTTACGAGTACCCAATTATAACACCCCCTTAACATATATTGTTATAATTTCCAGTGTGATGAAAATTAATGACAGTCATCAGAAACATACATATTTATTATGTACGTACCTGCAATTATTCAATCTGTAAAAAATACTTCTTCTAAAATAACTAACTCTGTAAAAGCAAATATATATAAAATGTAAGTCGTGATTTCTAAAGACTCAGGATCTGCAGAGTTGAGAACACTATCAGCTGTAGGTGGGCCTCTGTCAAGACACCAAAGGCCCACATTGTGTCTAACCAGTCGATCATTTTTGGTTTGGTGTGAGACTAACCCTAATCTCTGGTTTTGTTGTGAGGACTTACCCTGCCCTAGTCGATCCACAAGGGCTTGCTCCCGGCGTGTAATACTTATTTATTTTAAAAAAATCATGTACGGTAATACTAAGTATTACCATATATGATTTTTTTTAAATAAATAATTATTACACGCCGGGAGCAAGCCCCTGTGGTTGATCTATGAGTTTGGTGCAAGACTAAATCTAATAAGTCAAAAGTTGTGGGAGATTAACCCTAATCAGTTGAATGGCAGCACCTAAACTAGACCTTAGAGCAACCATAGCAATGGGAGCTAGAGTAGATCTTGCTGATCTGGGGAACTGTGTGTAAAGTATGAAGCCTACCCCCTCTAGATTTTCATCAAAATTTAACAGTATTCTTCTTCCGAAACAAGTCATGCAGATATTCCTTTTTTGGAGAAAAAAAATTGCCTAAACATTAACCAAAATTTCTCCTTTTAACTTGTGTGAAGATACATGTATAAATTTGTATCAATATATCTTTGAAAAACAGCCTGAAACTGCTGAATTTTGCTTCATTTCCTGAAGGACATGCTCTTATGAATGATGCAGACTGAGAATATGTGATTGGGGATCTTAGAATTGATTATTTGTTTTTTAGCTATGCAGGGCAGGATCTACATGATCTAGGAATTAATGATCTGATAATTCTTTATTTATTTCAGTATCAAGGGTGAATGTATAGGGGAGGATCGTGGAATTGACTATGATAAATTAAAGAAAAGTGAAGCATTTAAAGAATACAAAAAGGAGACTTTACAACTACAGTTTGTCTCCCTTGATGACCTCAGTGAAGCAGAGAGGAAGGCCTTCTTCATCAGTATCCTTATAATTGTGTGCTGTCAGAGAGTGATGTTCATGTCAGCAAATTTTAATATTATTAAGGGATGTACACTACTGTACAGTATAATATGCTTATAGCAAAGTACTTGAGATGGATGATTTTGCTTCATTATAAGTTATTAAGTTCACAATATAATTTAAAGCTTTGGGGAATCAAAATCCTTTCGCTGTGTCAACTCATTATGATCACGTTCACAGTAAGTTTTTACTGTATCTACATGTACTTTAATTTTTTGTGAATGATGTGGTCCTTGGTTTCAAATCAATTGATTGAACCTACAAGAAAACAGCTCATCTAAGTGTAGGATTTTTATGCAGACCACAACATAACAGCTAGTGTAATTGTAGGGGTTTTATAGAGACCACAACATAACAGCTAGTGTAATTGTAGGGGTTTTATAGAGACTACAACATAACAGCTAGTGTAAGTGTAGGGGTTTTATAGAGACTACAACATAACATCTAGTGTATTAAAGTATAGGGGTTTTATAGAGACCACAACATAACAGCTAGTGTAAGTGTAGGGATTTTATAGAGACTACAACATAACAGCTAGTGTAAGTGTAGGGGTTTTATAGAGACTACAACATAACATCTAGTGTATTAAAGTATAGGGGTTTTATAGAGACCACAACATAACAGCTAGTGTAAGTAAAGTGGTTTTATAGAGACCACAACATAACAGCTAGTGTAATTGTAGGGGTTTTATAGAGACCACAACATAACAGCTAGTGTAAGTGTAGGGGTTTTATACAGACCACAGCATAACAGCTAGTGTAAGTGTAGGGGTTTTATACAGACCACAACATAACAGCTAGTGTAAGTGTAGGGGTTTTATACAGACCACAACATAACAGCTAGTGTAATTGTAGAGGGTTTATAGAGACCACAACATAACAGCTAGTGTAAGTGTAGGGGTTTTGTAGAGATCACAACATAACAGCTTGTGTAATTGTAGGGGGTTTATACAGACCACAACATAACAGCTAGTGTAATTGTAGGGGTTTTATACAGACCACAACATAACAGCTAGTGTAATTGTAGGGGTTTTATAGAGACCACAACATAACAGCTAGTGTAAGTGTAGGGGTTTTATAGAGACCACAAGATAACAGCTAGTGTAAGTGTAGGGGTTTTATAGAGACCACAACATAACAGCTAGTGTAAGTGTAGGGGTTTTATAGAGACCACAACATAACAGCTAGTGTAATTGTAGGGGTTTTGTAGAGATCACAACATAACAGCTAGTGTAAGTGTAGGGGTTTTATAGAGACTACAACATAACAGCTAGTGTAATTGTAGGGGTTTTATAGAGATCACAACATAACAGCTAGTGTAAGTGTAGGGGATTTATACAGACCACAACATAACAGCTAGTGTAATTGTAGGGGTTTTATAGAGATCACAACATAACAGCTAGTGTAAGTGTAGGGGTTTTATACAGACCACAACGTAACAGTTAGTGTAAGTGTAGGGGTTTTATAGAGATCACAGCATAACAGTTAGTGTAAGTGTAGGGGTTTTTTAGAGATCACAACATAACAGCTAGTGTAATTGTAGGGGTTTTATACAGATCACAACATAACAGCTAGTGTAAGTGTAGGGGTTTATAGAGACCACACGATAACAGCTAGTGTAAGTGTAGGGGTTTTATACAGACCACAATATAACAGTTAGTGTAAGTGTAGGGGTTTTATAGAGACCACAACATAACAGCTCATGTACATGTAGGGGTTTTATAGAGATCACAACATAACAGCTAGTGTAAGTGTAGGGGTTTTATAGAGATCACAAGTTAACAGCTAGTGTAAGTAAAGTGGTTTTATACAGACCACAACATAACAGCTAGTGTAAGTGTAGGGGTTTTATACAGACCACAACATAACAGCTAGTGTAAGTGTAGGGGTTTTATACAGACCACAACATAACAGCTAGTGTAAGTGTAGGGGTTTTATACAGACCACAACATAACAGCTAGTGTAATTGTAGGGGGTTTATAGAGACCACAACATAACAGCTAGTGTAAGTGTAGGGGTTTTGTAGAGATCACAACATAACAGCTTGTGTAATTGTAGGGGGTTTATACAGACCACAACATAACAGCTAGTGTAATTGTAGGGGTTTTATAGAGACCACAACATAACAGCTAGTGTAATTGTAGGGGTTTTATAGAGACCACAACATAACAGCTAGTGTAAGTGTAGGGGTTTTATAGAGACCACAAGATAACAGCTAGTGTAAGTGTAGGGGTTTATAGAGACCACAAGATAACAGCTAGTGTGAGCGTAGGGGTTTTATAGAGACCACAACATAACCATGAGCTCAGTTCCTGAGGACTGGATTTTAATAATTGATTGTATTTAAGATAATGACTCTATTTAGCAGTTTAATCCATCAATAATAATAAGCATAGGTTCCACTGGCTGATGCTATGATAACCTGCATACTTTATCTGACACAAGGCAGTAATGATTACCTATAGCTATTCCTTACTTTTAAAGTTGGGAGAAATTGATCTCTCTTATAATATCTTATATTACAAAGAGGAAATATATGGACAAATATTATTGTTCTATAATAGCTAGATCAGGAGGAAATTTAATGTTAATGGAGATTCTTATTATAACTTAAGCTGATGCTGCTTCATAATCTCTGGCATTAATTGTGTGGTACATAACTGACATTTTATGAGATTAGAACAACAGAAAAGAGGGTGGGTGGGAGGGTGGGGGGGGGGGGGGTTAAAGTTGATCATCATTTGCCCTTTGACCTTCACAGAGCTGGTCCACACAGATATTTCATGGCTGTAGGAACCGGGGTGGGGGGGAGGGGACACAGGCCCCCACCATCATTTGCCAATATATAGATTACTATAGAAATATTACTACTATATGCTTGTGCCCCCTCAAATAAAAACGTCTGATGACCTTTTTTTTTTTATTATTTTTTTTTTGCTTGTCAAGGAATTTTTGGTAGTTCATAGTGTCCCCCCTGAAAATGTATTGTATGGCTGTGCCCCCCCCCCCCCCCCCCCAATTGAAATTGCTTCCTACAGGCTTGTTTTTGTACACAATCATGGTCCAAGTTCTCAAGATCTGCATTGTTCATCAAGCTCACTAGATCCAGAGGCTCAAGAGAACTTTTCTCATCAAAGCCTGTCTGGCATTTATTGTTTGTCTCTACATATATTGCTGCCTAAACTAGATACTGGTTCATTTATGTATTTTGTGTCACTTTTTTTTAACAACTGTAAAATCAATCATTTACAACTGCTATCAAGCTATAAAAAACAGTCTGACTGGATTGGAAAGATAAACATAGATTGTGTTGTGTTTTATGACAACCATGCAAAGTCCTATTTACCAGTTTACAAAAAACCATCAAGATATGCTGGACAGAATTACATCATACCCTGCTACTAAGTCCAGGGGCTATATTGACAAAAGAGGGATTTAAATAATTAAATGTTTGTTTACTGGTGTCTGATCCCCTTTATGTGTAAGATTAGTTTGCTGGTCTTCAATGATCTTTTATTCTTTAAACATTATTTTGGAGGTGCTATCATATACTCCGTTCTTCTATTAATTTCTTTTAAAATTTGAGTTTGGTTAAAGTTGGCAACCCCTAATGTTTTATGACTTTTTTTTGCATTGTTATATTCAAGATTAGAAAAAAATATTATACTACAATGGAATTTAGTAACTTTTATCTTTAAATAAAGTTTGTATTAAAAATGTAGGTATCTTTTCTGATCTCTTTCCGTCATTTATAAATATTTCATGTTGGAGTGGAATATTTTGCCAGCATTTGTCAACAGTCAGACAGGTAATAAAACGGAATCAAATACACAAAAAAGAAGGCATTGATGCATACATCACAGTAAATTGATCTGTTTCAAGCCTCTAGCATCAGTGTATTAATTATTCACTAACCACTCAAGTATTGATCAACCCTTTACAAAGGCAAAAATAAAGTATTTATGTGTATTGTCAAAATGTAAAAAAAAAAAAAAAAAAAAAAAAAAATTATGTAAACATTATGAGCATTTTTGTTAAAAAACAAATTTGCACCAATGAAAGTTATTTACAAACAATCCTAACAATAGTTTTAAAAAAATCCTGATATTTAAATCAATTTTGTTTTGTTTTAAACAAACAAATGCTTACTGTTTACTTTTAGCCTCAGTCAACTCATCATGATAGCTGCTTGCAGCTTTAGTTTTTAATTGTAAATTTTATACTTTTGTAACGGAAACAATTCTGATGTTGCTGAAAATTTTAATTAACTGCATTACAAGTTACACCTTTTTTTTATGTAAACCACCTGGACCTTAGACTTAATTCAGAATAATTCTTAATTCTTCTCTTTCTTTATTCTGATGTTTATTTGCATGAAAACAGTTATTTTTAGTTGTTATTAATTTCTTTATAGGCAGTCTGGAATGTTCTATCCTTGTTAAGAAAATTGTGTATATTTATTCTCAAAAGTTTTGAATGTCTGTCCTCCTGTAATCTCTGCTCATCCATAATTATTGTAAATATGTATATATGTACCTCTTGTACCATTCATATGGTTTTTGAGAGAATAAATGAATGAATGAATGAATGAATGTTAGGTGATGTAATAATTTTAGTACATGTATTTTAAGTTAAGTTGATGCTGATTTTATATGCATGTGACCTGTGACCTCTGTCAGGTTCCTTAACTCTACTCAGACTTATATAATGCCCTGACCATCCATGGTCTTGCTGAACAGGAATCTCTTCCTAGTTCTGTCCTTGACATTCAGCAGTTCTGGAAGACCACCGCCTATAATGTAGGGGGACTAGTTTACAGCCTTGATGACATCGAGCATGGCATTCTCAGAGGTGAGTCTGACCACAGCCTATTACGTAGGGGGACTAGTTTACAGCCTCGATGACATCGAGCATGGCATTCTCAGGGGTGAGTCTAATTGCCAGCTAGTCTATAATCCACTCATAAATTTGAGTGTCCAATAAATCTTTAATATTAGTTCATATGATATGGAAGTCCTCTCTAAATGTAAAGTAAGATTTTGAAAACGGGAAAAAGCCAATTTTAGAATTTAATCAAGATGCAGTACCGAAATCAAATCTGAGTTCTGTTGAATTAATATTTTCAAATGTATGTAAACAAGTTGTGAATTTTTAAATACTACAAACTGAGCTGTTCGATCTTTTACTTCATTTTGGTCAATTTTATTTAAATCTAGGTCTGCTTTGGTTGGTTTTGTTAGACTGTAATCTAATTTCATATGATAAAATATTTTCATTACCAAATAGATACATAACCATGATAACTTTGAAACCTTTCTTAAATTTCATTTGTGGATAAAATATTCTGACAATTTTGAAAATAATGTATTTCTTAGAAAAGAGCACAGCAATCTTGCTCATTTTATTAATACACCACAATTGGCAGTAATGTTTAAAGAGGTGTCTTGATAAGAGTGTCCTACCAGCTAGGTGTGGGTTATGAGAGTGTCTCACCAAGTGTAGATAATGGGAGTGTCTGACCAAGTGTGGGTTATAAGAGTGTCTCACCAAGTGTAGGTTATGAGAGTGTCTCACCAAGTGTAGGTTATGACAGTGTCTCACCAAGTGTAGATTATGAGATTGTCTCACCAAGGTTAGATTATGAGATTGTCTCACCAAGTGTAGGTTATGAGAGTGTCTCACCAAGTGTAGGTTATGACAGTGTCTCACCAAGTGTAGATTATGAGTGTGTCTCACCAAGTATAGGTTATGAGATTGTCTCACCAAGTATAGGTTATGAGAGTGTCTCACCAAGTGTAGGTTATGAGAGTGTCTCTCCAAGTGCAGGCTACAAGAGTGTCTTACCAAGTGTAGGTTATGAGAGTGTCTCACCAAGTGTAGATTATGAGAGTGTCTCACCAAGTGTAGATTATGAGAGTGTCTCACCAAGTGTAGATTATGAGAGTGTCTCACCAAGTGTAGGTTATGAGTGTGTCTCACCAAGTGTAGGTTATGAGAGTGTCTCACCAAGTGTAGATTATGAGAGTGTCTCACCAACTGTAGATTATGAGTGTGTCTCACCAAGTATAGGTTATGAGAGTGTCTCACCAAGTGTAGGTTATGAGATTGTCTCACCAAGTGTAGGCTACAAGAGTGTCTTACCAAGTGTAGGTTATGAGAGTGTCTCACCAAGGGTAGGTTATGACAGTGTCTCACCAAGGGTAGGTTATGAGTGTGTCTCACCAAGGGTAGGTTATGAGAGTGTCTCACCAAGGGTAGGTTAAGAGAGTGTCTCACCAAGGGTAGGTTATGAGAGTGTCTCACCAAGTGTAGGTTATGAGTGTGTCCCACAAGGTATAGGTTATGAGTGTATCTCACCAAGTGTAGGTTATGAGAGTGTCCCACCAAGTATAGGTTATGAGTGTGTCTCACCAAGTGTAGATTATGAGTGTGTCCCACCAAGTATAGGTTATGAGTGTGTCCCACCAAGTGTAGGTTATGAGAGTGTCCCACCAAGTATAGGCTATGAGAGTGTCCCACCAAGTATAGGCTATGAGAGTGTCCCACCAAGTATAGGCTATGAGAGTGTCTCACCAAGTGTAGGCTATGAGAGTGTCTCACCAAGGGTAGGTTATGAGAGTGTCTGACCAAGGGTAGGCTATGAGAGTGTCTCACCAAGTGTAGGTTATGAGAGTGTCTCACCAAGTGTAGGTTATGAGAGTGTCTTACCAAGGGTAGGTTATGACAGTGTCTCACCAAGGGTAGGTTAAGAGAGTGTCTCACCAAGGGTAGGTTATGAGAGTGTCTCACCAAGGGTAGGTTATGAGTGTGTCTCACCAAGTGTAGATTATGAGTGTGTCCCACCAAGTATAGGTTATGAGTGTGTCCCACCAAGTGTAGGTTATGAGAGTGTCCCACCAAGTATAGGCTATGAGAGTGTCCCACCAAGTATAGGCTATGAGAGTGTCTCACCAAGTATAGGCTATGAGAGTGTCTCACCAAGTATAGGCTATGAGAGTGTCTCACCAAGGGTAGGTTATGAGAGTGTCTCACCAAGTGTAGGTTATGAGAGTGTCTCATCAAGTGTAGGTTATGAGAGTGTCTCACCAAGTGTTGGTTATGAGAGTGTCTCACCAAGGGTAGGTTATGAGAGTGTCTCACCAAGTGTAGGTTATGAGAGTGTCTCACCAAGTGTAGGTTATGAGAGTGAGAGTGTCTCACCAAGTGTAGGTTATGAGAGTGTCTGACCAAGGGTAGGCTATGAGAGTGTCTCACCAAGTGTAGGTTATGAGAGTGTCTCACCAAGTGTAGGGTATGAGAGTGTCTTACCAAGGGTAGGTTATGACAGTGTCTCACCAAGGGTAGGTTATGAGAGTGTCTCACCAAGGGTAGGTTATGAGAGTGTCTCACCAAGTGTAGGTTATGAGAGTGTCTTACCAAGGGTAGGTTATGACAGTGTCTCACCAAGGGTAGGTTAAGAGAGTGTCTTACCAAGAGTAGGTTATGAGAGTGTCTCACCAAGGGTAGGTTATGACAGCGTCTCACCAAGTGTAGGTTATGACAATGTCTCACCAAGTGTAGGTTATGACAGTGTCTCACCAAGTGTAGGCTATGAGAGTGTCCCACCAAGTGTAGGTTATGGGAGTATCTTACTATGGGTATGTTTTGAGAGTGTTCCTTTAAGGGTAGGTTATGAGAGTGTCCTGCCTAGGAAAGGTTTTGAGAGGAGATCTTTACCAGTACTGTAGTTTGTTATAAGTGTCCTTCTCATTTTTTTATATCAGGGAACCGGAGCCACCCGGCCTCTACCAAACCCCAGTTTTCAGAGGGAGACCCTCGCCTTAAATATGTCATGAAAAAACTGGATCCCAGAATTCACTTTGCTCTCGTGTGCGGAGCAGTGGTATGTAGATTTCTATTAAATGGGTACAATGTATAGGTATTGGCAGTTGATTTCACTCATTGAAGTTTGGATAAGGAAAAATTTATATCTTATAGAAGCAGTTATCCATTAGCAACAAATGTTAACATTCTTATATTGCAAAACTATCTTCTTATTTGTAAGTACATGATGTGTACATAATAAATACTTATTCTGCAGTCCTGTCCAGCCATCAATGTGTACACTGCAGAAAACTTAGATAAGGCTTTGGACCAGGCCACACGGAATTTCTGTAAACAGGAGGTGTCCATGTTCACAGAGGTGGATGAAGTCTGGCTCTCCAAGATCTTCCTGTGGTATCGCGATGACTTTGGGGGAAACAGTGTTTCAGTTATTGAGTAAGCAGTTTATAATCTATTAAACAGTAGTATGAACTTATATTTGGAAATTATCTCATTTAAATCAGATTCATTCTATTTATATGTAGCACAATTTCCAAAACAAATATGTAAAAGGAACTTCATAAGTCATGATGTTGATGCTGAATTCCAAAGTTCATCACAGGATTCATTTCACATTCACTATTCACTCAGGATCATATTCATGAAAAGGGGTGAAGATAAGGCCAATATATAAAATACCTTTGTTTACCCTAACGCGACCGACCCAATTAAATCCTGCCAACTGAAAAGTTTTTTTCGAATTAGATTATTCAAATAATTTTTTTTAATATTAACAAGTTTTTAATATTTTTACAAGTTCAATTGAATAATAATTGTGAATTAATTTACCTTGAAGTTTGCTTAAAAACGGCATTGGTAATGGTGAGATAATTCTGTTAAATCGTTTTCTTTGTACTTTTCTTATTTTTAAAGGTTATATTCCATTATATATAAATTTATATATTTTTATATTGATTAAAAGTTGCTGTCAGAAAAAAAATTATCGACCTACCTACCTACCCAACTTGAGATTTTAGGGTCAGGTTAAGGGAAACAATGATATTTTTAATGATGGCCTAATGAACAGTGTGAATTATGAACTCAATCACGTTGAAATTAATTTAATTTTAATTCTTTTGATTTGTTATTTTAGATGGATTATGCCATATCTTGAGAAAGACATTCAGGACAGAGCTGTAGTCCTTCTATTTAAAATTAAAAATGTAGGTCAGGTGGACATTAAGTACAATGAGTATGATTGGCGGCTTAACAAGCTGGGAGTCACGCCTCTCATTCTGTGATGGACAGCTATAAGACACACCCACCTTCTGTGATGGACAGCTGTAAGACATGCCCACCTTTTGTGATGACTGGTATAGAGATAATCATGTGCAGTCCTTTACACATGTACCAACACAGGGATGAAAAGGTTTCAACCTATCATATATGCAACCTATCATATGTAAAGCACCATTTTGAATTCTGTTATGTACTTCATAGATTCTAAATTTTATAATAAGCAGTAAAGTTATATCATACATGTACATTTAGAGTGCCATATTTATGGAGAATGTTAGATATTTTTGCTTGTCCATCATTCTACCTGTAATTCAACATTCACCTTGTCCCCCATCATGTTTACCAGCAGTAATATAGTCAGAACTGTCATTATTCAGGTATTTTAATTCCAATGAACTGAATTTCAACTTTCATTTAGAGGCTAAAGCTCTCTCTCTCTCTCTCTCTCTCTCTCTCTCTATATATATATATGAGGGATGGCAATCGAATACAGAATTGCCAATCGGTTAACCGCAAGACGTTCCGACCGATTAGTCGGTTAATCGTATCAAAAATTCTCGACATAACTACACTCGAATAAGTAAGACTATAAAGATGTTCATGTAGTAATATTATGCTTATATTTATATATGATCAGAAAACTACATATATTGTATTTCAATTCTAAACTGAAGTTGCAGATGCATTAAAAAAAATTCAGAAAAGATGTCAAGGAAGTTCATTTTGCATTGTCACCATAATCAAAATTAAGTCTGAATTATCGCTTATCTTACGATGTTTGTTTTAGAATATAGTTTGATAGGTAACTGTAAAGGATAGAAGAGGTAAGGTACACCTTATAATCAGTTCACAGTAGTAAAAGATCATTTAATTAAAATCATTAAAGAAACACAGGACAGGGTGTGTAACGACGAGTGTTTAAACAGCAATTAACGACTCGAAAAGTGACCAATTACCCCCACGCGATGTCAATCTGGAGAGCCTTAATTATCTCCGAATCAGCGTAAATAGATAGGTGAACATACTAACATTTCAGAAAATTTTATTTGTATTTTTTAAATTGAATTTTCAGGAAATTGTATTCAAATTTACACATATATTAATTTTTTCCCGACTAACTGATTACAGATTTTCTAACCGATTGCCATCGTTCCGACCGAGTAACCGGTTAACCGATTACAAATTGCCATCCCTAATATATATACATGTATATATTAGTGGAACTGATCCCCATCCTTTAGTCTGTTTTTTTTATAATCAAGTTTGAAGATCTTCAGTGCATTACTTAAGGACGTTCGATCCTGAGCTTTTGAGCAGATTTTGGTCTGGAGCTTTATTTCTAAAATTCTGCATTATTTTTAAGTTCTAACATTAAATCTGGATTCTACAATGCAAATTATGCTATATCCAATGAAAAAAACGCGATTAAATTCCATTCAAATAGGATTAAGCCAGGAACTATATTTTGTGGCGGAAGATTTTTTAGAAGAAAATGATCATTTTTTCCCTTTTGAAATACATACAGTACTGTTAAGTTTAGATTCCTATTTTTCCATGCTGGTTGCACACAGAGCTATTTTGTGCATTGAAATGTTTAATGCTGGTTCTAAAATATTAATTAAATCAGTTTTTGTGAATTCTATCATCATATTGTGACAAATATAGAAAATATATTCTGAAACTCCAGGAAAAAATTGAGCCAATTTTATCACAAAATTAACAGTTTTTTAGTAATATCTAAAAAATAACATCATAGACCTCCACTTTTGATTTTCTTTTCTGAATATATAAGATAACTCTGATCAATCTACTTAAATTCAGCAAAAGTTTAAGACTTTAAAATATTTTTCTTGCTTGTTATATTTTTAATGCCTGAAAAATGACATTTTGTGAGTGCAGAAAGGTCAAATAATTGATTATGCGAAGCAATTTGAAAATTTTTCTTTGTCACAATTTTAATGTGTCTTTTTTAAGAGAGAATAATAGCATACTTTGTCCCATGATTTATTTGGATAAAAAATATTGGAGGGAAAACGTCGAAGATGTTATTTTTGATTAAGACACAAATTCAGTGCAAAAAGGTCATTTTAAATGTACTGTAGCGCCAAAAGAAGCATATTGACCCCCATTTTTTGTTTTGATTTTTAATTAAGCTATGTGTGTACAAACTAAAAATATACTTGACAAAAAAAGTTTAAGACTTTAAATATCAAGATCCAACGTCGTTAATGTACTTTGTAATGTGTTACAATATACCCCTAAAGACAAGTTATAACAACATAAAAATGGCATATTTCTGGGCTAAGCTAGCTAGCTTAGTTCTTAGGCTAGGTATTTAGGTCCATTGTACAGTGTACAAATTAGGCTAGCTTATTTCATTCAAGAATGTAGCTCTGCACAGAGCTACATGTATGTAATTGGTATGATCTTGAATACAGCCTTAGTTTGCATATTATTCAATTTTATGAAACAGATTTGGGTTAACTTTTTTTTTTTGTAATATTAGTTTGGCACAGTCCCTTTATATTGTGACCTCCACAGGTGATCGTGAAACCTCATCATTTTATCTGTGTAGAGTCTGTACCATGCAATGTTTGTGAATAGTAAAACATGATTATAGCAAAGCTTTAAGCATAGTACAGATTAAATAATTTTTATGTCTTTATCTCTTTGTGTCGAGTTAATAGTAATTTAATACACTCTAATGTAGTGCTGGTTTTACAAAACTACAAGTTTGGTAATCAGTATTCAGTGTGCAAAATTTGCTGTAATCAAGGTTTACTGGTGTAAACAAATTATGATCAGGGAAAAATGTTCTTGCCAGACATTGAAAAGGATCTTCAGTACAGCCTGTTCTTAAGTTTGTGTTGCAAGAGTTGTTTAAATTAAAATTTTGTTAAAAAGTAATACAGAAAGGGCATTCCATAAGTTTTCAGGATCAAAATGTTACCGAGTTCAATACTAACAACTGGTATATGAATATTTGTAACATTGTAACATTAGCATTTTGTAAATATTATTGAGTGAAGTACATGTAGATAGTTGTTATTTGTATATTTTAAATCAAGCACTTGACTTTCTTTGTTATAAAAAGTTGTTAGTGGTATGTTAATGTACAGGGTTGTCTGTGGACTAATTCTTTAGTATAGTGTGGCATACTATAGTTTTGTTATCAAGCTCTAGAATAATAATTAGATTGTTTGATTTAATTAAATTATTTTAATTGTGAAAGACATGTATAAAAATGATTGTCTAATTTATTTAAGTTTTTTTTTGTCTGTTTGTTTTAAATCATGTTACATGTAATTTGAGAGTAATTTCTAGTTGGTGCATTCTTTGTATTTTATAAAAAGCTGACATATCTTTGTACTTGACAGTATGGTAGCTTGAATTCATGTACCGGTACATATATTTTCATTACTTAGTTTAGTATCTGCATTAAGCTGTTTATTAAGCCAAGTTTTTTCTTCTTCTTTGTTTTGTTTTATTGCTGCATTATCTCCCTTGCTTTCTATCTGTATTCTATGCATTTACAAAGTATCACCTATATTCTAAGTATTTGTAAATATAAGTTAATATTGTACTGCTATATTTTCTTATCAGTTTAAAGTGTTTATTTGACAGTGAGGCAGGTGCTGTATTTTCTGTTTTAATTCTTTTTTGAAAAAAATATGTTTGTGACAGGATTTTTATTTAATTTGTAAGTTCATGAGTGATAATTTTAATATGTTTTGTGTATAGTATAAGGTCCTATTCTATTATTATAATTAATTTTGTGAATTTGATACAATTCTAAATTCCTCTAAATCGATAGTCCCTCTATTTAGTTTTTATTCTTTGTCTGTCAGTCTGTATGTGCATCAGTTAAGAGTCCTCTATGTAAGTCCATGCTCATTGCTCCCTATAACTATCCATTCCTTTTCACTCAGACTACATGAGTATATATTGTGTCCTTTGATCTGTATGTACATGTATAGACAGAAAAGGAAAATAACACTCCACAATTAATCTACAACATGTTTAGCTGATAATAATGATCCCGTTATTCCTTTCTGTACTTGCATGGAAGACGTCCTTGTTACTTAATTACTTTGTTTATACACGTCACCTTAATGTTGGTGCTGGCCATGATTTCCTTGTCTTCCAAACACAGACCTGACCTTGATGTTTATAAATAGAACCCCAAAACCTCTGTATTTGCTTAATTAAAACTTAAATACATATATTTCTTAATATTTGGTACTTGTAATTTGATAAACAATCATAGCTACATATTTGGAAAAAAAATGAATCAAGAGAAGATGGTCTGTGAAATCTACCGGTATATATTTACTACATGTTGTATAATTCTTTTTTTTCTCATGGCTTTCAAGGGTGTCAGTATTATTGATACTGAAAGCATGATTGATTAAATATTGCTTTTCTGGAACTCAAATGTACTTAAAAAAAACATAGAAATGTAAAACTTACAATAATTACATGTATCATTTAAATTGAGTCTAAAAAGATTTTGGTAGAGTAGAAATTTTGGTTTAGAACTTGCACATCCTAGGGTTTTTTTTGTATCCCACAAGTGTTCTATATATTTTGCAACATTGTTTGTTATTATTGTTAGAAGTAGTTGAAAGAGGCTGACTTAAGCTTTAGATATCTTAATTCATAAAATCAGTACAAGATAATTTAATACAACTGCTACATTTGATGGTAGTTTGATGATCCAGCATGCCTCCCAGACCCACAATACTAGGAGACTTAATAATCAATCATCATCTAAACAATCGTTACAAGAATGTTCTCTATTTTTGTGTAAGTCTGACCCAATGAACGAGTTAAGCAGTTACACAGTATTTTTCTTTCCATGCCCGTTTTTTTTTTCATGACAGAGTACATTACCTCATTTAAATTTATCCCTCTAAGCAATCAATTTTATTATTAATTTTTTTTTACTAAATAATATCTTGAGCTAGACATTTAATATTAATATGTCTACTTTTTGTAGAATGTCAAAGTTGATAAACATTGTGTCATGGGAAAACTCGGATTTATTCTATGTTGCAAGCTTAAGCCAGCCTTCATAGCTAATATTTAACTGAATTATTACTTTTCATTTAATTATGGCTTAGTTAGAAAAAATTTGTATATAGATTTTGTGTTATTCAAACTTTTCTCAGATTTTCTCCTTGAGATGGAGAACAGTTGATTATGATTTTCAGTGTAAATAACAGAAATAATTCTTAACAAAAACAAATAACATTAAATGCATGCAAGCAATAATTACAATATAAAGTTGAAAATATATGCGAAAAGTGTTTAATAATGCACTTCTAAGAGTTTGTAATTTGTTTGAAAAAATAATCAAAATAACATGGTGAATGACGTTTCACTGAATTTATTCACCTTGTATCATTATGTACTGACTAATTATATAAGTAGCAGGGTTGTCCTTAAGACCTGGGGGCTGGGGAATTTCCCTGCCTTTAATGACATAATCCCCGGTTATTCTCCCTTCATTCCCTGTTAGGGGAGACACCCCAGACCCCCTTCTACTTTTTTAAAGTCCCCTGCTATTTCAATTCTTAGGGACAACCCTAAAGTAGTAAAGAAAGTTTATCATATATTGATTTTGTTAAATTATAAATTATTTTAATTCTTTTTAAATTGTTTATCTGAGAGATGAAGGATATATCTTTTTTAATAAATATATGAGGACACTCAATTAAGTTACTGACTTTATGATAACTGAGCTATGTGGATCACTGCATCTTTGCCTTTATAGTGAATTGCCAGGGACTTTATGATAACTGAGTTATGTGGATCAGTGCATCTTTGCCTTTATAGTGAATTGCCAGGAACATCTCTATACCCATTACATTTCTAGTTAATATTTTGCAATAATGTATATCCACATTTGCTGTAAACATCGCTGCCTGTCTTGTGGCATCATTCTCCTGTGATATTTTTTTCTACGCCGTAACGCTTCTAGTGTCTCTGTATATCATTCGTCCCTTCTATAATTATAAATTACGATTATTTTTATATACATTTCTAGATTGCTCTATATTTATATAATTCTGATAGCTTAGAATTTTGGCTTAATGGTTTTCTTACACAATATAATGTATCTAATAAAGATTGCAAAATGTGTATATTACACAATAAAGACATTATAAATCAAAGCATTGAGTTGATCTTCAGTCTATATACAATCTACCTGTAATCGCTAGCAAACTTGACAAATGACAGAGCACTGTACACCTCTTGTGTGCCAAGTCTTATTGAAATCTGAGCAAAACTGGGGGGGAGTAGTGTTTTTGAAAAATTATTTACAGATAGACAGACACCTTACCAATGAATTAAGCTCTTCTTTAACTAGTGATCTAAAAAGGAGCCAAAACGGATTTTGTTTAGGAAACAAAAGGCAGACATTAAAGCTGACATGCAGGACTTAAGGATTCTATAGAGGAAAAATAAATCTAATTGTACAATATGACTCCAAACAAAAAGAGAAAAGGCAATCTGTTGTACAACCATGAAATCTTGTTTTCACCTCTGTGGCCAATGCCAGAATAAGGATTAACACATTTAACATGTCATATTTTGAATACTTTAACAGAAAGTTGTTCTGATAAACACTGAAGATGATGTTTTGTGGAGTGTTGTATAAGAATAATATATCACAGTCACTGAAACATGGAACTGATATAAACATCTGTACATACATGAATGTTATTATTAAAAGTAATTTATTCTGAAAGAAAGACTTGTGATAAACAGGACATGCACCTATCCAGTCATAACAGCTAAACACAGATGATTAAATGTAGAAATCAGACACATGGATGAACCACTGGTTGGTTTATATACATTTTACAGACATGTCCTCAGACAGAAATGCTCCCCTCTCTGAAGTTGGTCTTCCCGATGAGGATGTTGACTAGGATGCTATTTCCTTCTCTGTTCAGTTTAATCGTCTCCTTTAAGATCTCGCGGATCTTGTCTTCATTACTTCTGTCCAGCTTCAGTCCCATGCCTCCATAACCAATGGCAACCTTTTCATAGTCTGTGAACTAAAAATAAACACAGAATTTTTTTTATTAATCAAATTCTAATTTTCTATGTGAAAAGAGCCTAAAGACAATTTAATACATCCAATTTGATGTAGTGTATTCTTTAATAAGGTGTTTACTGTGGTATTTTTTCGGGGGGGGGGGGGGGGGGGGGTATTAATTTAGTGATTGAGTAAAAACTTTGGATTTTCTTGCAATGACAATACCATTAAACATTCTGCAATTCCTTAATTTAAACATTAGATAATGATTGAATTTCACACATTCACTTGAAAAGGAAACCAAGAGATGAGCTGACCACAATGTGTATGCCCTGGTCTTGCTGACTGATGTATAATTTTTGAATCTAAACATTATACTTCTAATGTGGTATGATGCATGCATCAAAATTAATTTTGACAAACTATAAACAATTCTCTATAAGATTTTTTCCAACATACTAGATCTCCTTAAGAAACCTTAGACATTATTAACTCATCTATTGTAAACATAGTAAAAATAAAAATAAAAGTAAAAATATAGAGAGGGGGCTCACATTTCTTTCTTATCTATGGTGTTATTTACTTACTGCTAATTTACAGGCCACACTGCTATGGTGTCGTTTACTTACTGCTAATTTACAGGCCACACTGCTATGGTGTTATTTACTTACTGCTAATTTACAGGCCACACTGCTATGGTGTCGTTTACTTACTGCTAATTTACAGGCCACACTGCTATGGTGTTATTTACTTACTGCTAATTTACAAGCCACACTGCTATGGTGTCGTTTACTACTGCTAATTTACAGGCTATGATGTCATGATTTCGTTTACTTACTGCTAATTTACAAGCCACACTGCTATGGTCTCGTTTACTTACTGCTAATTTACAAGCCACACTGCTATGGTCTCGTTTACTTACTGCTAATGTACAGGCCACACTGCTATGGTGTTATTTACTTACTGCTAATTTACAGGCCACACTGCTATGGTGTCGTTTACTACTGCTAATTTACAGGCTATGATGTCATGATTTCGTTTACTTACTGCTAATTTACAAGCCACACTGCTATGGTCTTGTTTACTTACTGCTAATTTACAGGCCACACTGCTATGGTCTCAATTACTTACTGCTAATTTACAAGCCACACTGCTATGGTCTCGTTTACTTACTGCTAATTTACAGGCCACACTGCTATGGTCTCGTTTACTTACTGCTAATTTACAGGCCACACTGCTATGGTCTTGTTTACTTACTGCTAATTTACAGGCCACACTGCTACCAAACATAGGAACTTGTTCTCTCTCAATCTGTGTCCACCCAGCATCATTGCCAACCAATGCCATCACAGGTATCTATGAAAGTAACCAATGAAGGTGTAAAAATATATTAAATGGTCAACATTATTCTTTGTAAGATATGAACCCATATACATGTAACCAAACTGAGTAAATCCATGTGCATGTGTGTGGCAATATTATTCATTCATCATTTTATTATGCAATAAAATAGCTGTTCAGTTTGTTTTAAAATGAAAAAAAAAATTCGTTGTTTATTATCAAATCTACACACATACCAGTGATACAAGTAGTTAAATCATATAATAACATGATTGGATGAGATTTACTTACAAGTATATGTAAAATAAGTCTAGAATTTGTAAATCAAACCTTGTGCCTGGTGAAGGTATCAAACTCTGCGATGCTGTAACCAAGGGAACCGTCGCCATAGATAATCCACACATCAGAGTCAGGGCGACATAGCTTAGCTCCCAGGGCGAATCCTCCCCCAACCCCCAGGGTACCAAATGCTCCAGGGTCTAACCAGTGGAGGGGGGCACGGGGTCTGGTGAGAGACAACAGGATATCAGTTATAGGATACAGTATTAGGCAGATCAAATGTAACAACAGGTCAATGGGCCACTATGCTCCCCTGAATCATATTCATGTACTGGAATATATCAGTATAAAAGAGAATTTGTATTTATTGCCTAAAATTCATTCTGACCATTTTTTAGATCACCTGAGCTGAAAGCTCAAGTGAGCTTTTCTGATCACCCGTTGTCCATCGTCCGTCCATCTGTCTGTCCGTCCGTCCGTCTGTAAACTTTTCACATTTCCAAATTCTTCTCAAGAACCACTGTGCCAATTTTAACCAAACTTGGTACAAAGTATCCTTGGGTGAAGGGGAGTTTAAATTGTTAAAATTAAGGGCCAAATCCCCTTACAGGGGGAGATAATCAAGAAAAGACAAAAATAAGGTGGGGTCATTAAAAAATCTTCTTCTCAAGAACCACTGGGCCAAAAAAGCTGAAACTTATGTGGAAGCATCCTGTGATAGTGTAGATTTTAAATTGTTAAATCATGACCCCTGGGGGTAAGGCGGGGCCACAATAGGGAATCCAAGTTTTACATTGAAATAAATGGGAAAAATCTTTAAAAATCTTCTTCTCAAGAACCACTGGGCCAGAAAAGCTTAAACTTATGTGGAAGCATCCTTGGGTAGTGGAGATTTTAAATTGTTCAAATCATGACCCCCGGGGGTAGGGCGGGGCCACAATAGAAAATCCAAATTTTACATTGAAATAAATGGGAAAAATCTTTAAAAAACTTCTTCTCAAGAACCACTGAGCAACAAAAGCTTAAACTTATGTGGAAGCATCCTGGGGTAGTGTAGATTCTAAATTGTAAAAATCATGACTTCCGGGGGTAGGGCGGGGCCACAATAGAAAATCCAAATTTTACATTGAAATAAATGGGAAAAATCTTTAAAAATCTTCTTCTCAAGAACCACAAGGCCAGAAAAGATGAAATTTATGTGGAAGCATCCTGGGATAGTGTAGATTTTAAATTGTAAAAATCATGACCCCCTGGGGTAGGGCGGGGCCACAATAAGTATTACAATGGGGAAATCTGGTAAAGAACAGCATGGCCAAAGTTACTCAGGTGAGCGATGTGGCCCATGGGCCTCTTGTTTCTCATTCCGAGAGAAATTTTGAAATATATACAAAAGGAGAATAAGCAAGTTTATCAAAAGTAAAATTAAAAGCGAATTTATCAAAGCTGATCAGATGTAAAGCAAATCATTCAGCATACAAACTAGTTCCCAACAAACAAATACATGAACACATATATACATGTATTGTAATATGTACACACAACTTTGATATCTGACATTTTATTTGTCTACTTTTTTGAAGTGCACTTATTTTAAAAACTTCCCTAAGACTATGATTCACTGAAGCAACTTACACCAGCCTTCAATCGCAACTTCTCGGGCCTTTCCGACTAGCAGAAATACAACCTCGAATGTATTACATAGATGCCATGACAACCCCCGTTTTCACAAACTTTGAAATAAATGTGGGAGGACCTCTTATCTGTGGAGTATAGAGTTTCACTTTATTGAATGTAAAGATATTACCTAAAATATACTATAGAAGGGACTTTTAACTCCGTCTATCCTATATTTAAATAAATAGGAAATTGAATGTATAAAATTTTAACATCTGGTGATGTTAATACATTCGAGGTTGTTTTTCAGACCTCTTACGGAAAGACCCGAGATGATGCGATTGCACCAGTCTTACCATTATATAACAATATGATACTTGTGTATCAGATAAATAAAGGACAAATAAACAAATCTGATATTGTATGCAGTGGTGGCCACAAAATCACCTCCACCTGTAAACAAACCTGAGGATGTATGCAGCAGTGGCCACAAAATCACCTCCACCTGTTAACTAACCTGAGGATGTATGCAGCGGTGGCCACAAAATCACCTCCACCTGTAAACTAACCTGAGGATGTATGCAGCAGTGGCCACAAAATCACCACCACCTGTAAACAAACCTGAGGATGTATGCAGCGGTGGCCACTAAATGACCTCCACCTGTAAAACAAACCTGAGGATGTATGCAGCGGTGGCCACAAAATGACCTCCACCTGTAAACAAACCTGAGGATGTATGCAGCGGTGGCCACAAAATCACCATCACCAGTAAACTAACATGAGGATGTATGCAGCAGTGGCTACAAAATCACCTCCACCTGTAGACTAACCTGAGGATATATGCAGCCGTGGCTACAAAATCACCACCATCTATAAAATTACCTGAGGACATATACAGCGGTGGCTACAAAATCACCACCACCTGTAAACTAACCTGAGAATGTATGCAGTGGTGGCCACAAAATCACCACCACCAGTAAACTAACCTGAGGATGTATGCAGCAGTGGCCACAAAATCACCACCATCTGCCACCATCACTGTATCGTCAGACATGACTTCCTCTGCAATGTGTAAAACCTTCAGGGGATTCAGATGTTGGTCTGTTTTCTCATCAGCCTTCAGCCTATAACAGAAAGGGTGTGATTAACTAAAAGTTAAAATAAAACTAAAACACAAAGGAAAACTACAGTACATTATGGTAAAGCTTGAAGATTTCGCTTGTAAATGTGGTATACAGGTACGTACTCCACACCTTTCTCATGACCATGTCATGACCATGATGACTACATGTAGATTATAGTTTTATGACCTCTGACATGGTAAATTTCCAGCATCTGTCTTAGTGTTTTCATTTAACACAACCAGATTTTAATTCTTTCAAAATCAGATCAAGGTCATACAATTTATCCTCTAGATGATGATCATGAATTATGTTTATCCGAGTCCTTACTATAAATGCTGTTAGATGGTGTCAATTTTAACTCTACACAGTTCCATTCAATATGATTTGATCATGTGCCCTTGACCAGTACTTTATTTTAACCTCTAAATTTTTATCAGCAGGTCATCCCACTGTTCTCATCCTAATTCTTGACAAGGATCATATGGCCAATGTGACAGATTACAGGGAATGCTTACCCCTCCATGGCACCTGATCCCTCCTCTGTTTTCAGATGTCCGTGTTTGCTCTGCTCACAATTGGTATTGTTTAATTGGACTTTTAAGCATGATTACTGTTCCATATCTTCACACTCTAACTTCAGCCAGATATCCTGACTTTGACCTTTGACCTTACCTATTGGCCTTCTCCTTTTCTTCATCTTTGTCCTTGAGTTTCTGTATCCAGTCAGGGTCACACTTGTATCCCCGCAGTCCCTGGGAGATTTGGACAATAAAGCTGGCTACATCTCCCTCTATAGCTACAGTAGGCTTCCAAAACATGTCCGAATTCTAGACAGAAATTACATACTTCAGATTAAAAGGACATTAATTATCACAGGTTTGAAAAATAGCAATAGCTCACAATTGTTAAGTTGTTGGATTTGTTCTGAGCTTAGCTGAGACAGTAATTTCAATTTATGTACATATAAGTTTTTGCTACATTGATTTTGTTAAATTTAACATCAAGCTGCCATCAAAGGAGACAGATACATATAAACAACTTTAATGTGTTGATGTATCAATGAGATTCACAGATACACATGTAGTTTAAATTTGTTCATGAAAATCAAGTTTACTGTCATAAAATATTCTATACATTGTTATCTAGAAATCTCCCAGTCTGTCCCGGCTTACTTTGTATAGCTGCTCCTTGCTGCGGTTAATGGTGATTATTTTAGATCGTCTATTGAGGACACGCCCATATCCCAGTCGAAAGTCTGCAACTGCCCCTAACAAAAAAACATTCAGATCTATCATGTACAAGCAGTCATTACTGAAATTTACTTAGTTTGTGGGTTTTGGACATTGGACAGTCATTAGCTGTCATCCTAAGTATTCACCTTAACAGCTTTTGTTAACTAAGGGGTCACCTTACCTGCCATGATAACAAGATCTGCCTCTTTTAGTGCCTCCCCTCTCTTCTGGCGTGCCTGGATCGGACTGTACCTCCCCAGCAGACCTCTGGCCATACCCCCAAGGAAACAAGGAATCCCCATATCCTGTAAAGGTCAAGTAAATTCAGTCATTTAAAGGTGTGTAAATATGTCAGTTTTTAGTTTTAATACCTCTCAGAGCTTTTCCACAGCTCAGATGAACCTCTGCATCTCTACCCACTAACTTCTAGAGATTTTTCTACAGTCAATGTAACAAACCTTGGAAGTTTTTGGTCTGGATGACCCACATCCTTTCACTTCTAAAACCCTTGGATGAATTTCCTACCATTCTATCTCTGATCAAAATCTTTCCAAAACTTTTCTTTGGTCTAGATGACCCTTCCCTTTTTACCTCAGAGAACTTTTTTACAGAGTAGATGTCATATCCCTTTACCTCCAGAGCCTTTCTGAGCTGATCCACTGGTATAGGGGGGAGGGTGGCTTGACTCCCCACCAGAACGACCGGTCTCTTGGCCTTGGTGATTAGTTCTATGCTCTTCTGAACTAAAAATCAAACAGAGAGTGTTGTCACAGACAAAACCTCACAAGGACAGAGACAGCATCAGGTCTGTTTATCTATCTGTCAAGTGAGTGTCAACAACTTAAGCCAAAACTCTGAAAATTATTTGAGAAATATTTCACAACTGGTTAAGAATTCTTTTTTACTGGGATCAAGTTTGTAGTTCCAGAACAAACAAGAGTTTGTTATAACAAGAATTTATCACCATAGAAGCTTTGGACTGTACTTGCACATCTTGCTCTTAATAACTAGAATTGCTTGTAAATTATCATATATTGTTACAAAGGAAAAAAAACATCATTCTTCCTTTTTTTTTAATTTTACTATAAAGAAATACTTGCAATATGTGCTTCAAACCAAACTTGACCTCATCTGACCTTGAGAGGGTGTGGCTTTCTGTTGATTGAGAGGTATAGGTGACATGTCACGTGTTTCAAATGCACCAGCAAACAGGTTGTTGAGATGGTTCATCAAATACCTAAATACAACAAGATGTGTTTGTGAAACACTATGCACCCGGCGGCAACAAATTTCGAAAAAGCTATTTTTAGCATATAGGTCACAGTCAAGGTCACAAGGTCATTGATCTTGGTGTCATTTGAAAGAACTTAATGAGTGGAGTATGCATACCAAATATGAAGTCTCTCTCTCTCATGGTTCAAAAGTTATGATGAAGGTTAAAGTTGAAACAGACAGACAAACAGACAAACAGACAGACAGGACAAAAACAATATGCGCCCCGATCTATCAATCCGGGCGCATAATAAAAAAAGAAATAAAAGTGGTCCAGGAGACCGAATCCTCTGTGAGTAAAAGTGCATCAAATGTTTTCAGAACCTTTAGGGTCACATAAAATTTACATTGGATTCTCACCTGTACTTTAACAAAGGGAAAGTGTAATTTACAAAAAAAAAATCAGTTCTGGCAAAGGAAGAATTCCAGCATAAGTTCATAAGCTTCCGAGGTTATTACAGTTCTGTTGAATTTTAAAAAGTTAATTATTTTCTGATAAATGCACTAGATGTTTCCCTATCTACCCAATAAATGTCAATTTTTCTGCATTGTTTTGTTTATTTGTTTTTTCAGCAAGATATAATCTTACTCAAGGTAAGACTTTGTTTTTACATCATTTAATAGTCAGATATATATGTTATCAGGTAAAAACATACATTATAGGTAATCACACATATTATCAGGTATTAACTTACATATAACTTAAATATTATCTGTTAATTACCAGTTGATTATTCGCTGAACCAAACTAACGGGCCCCTTCTCTTTCATTCCAATCTCTCGTCTAACAGTTTCGTAAGGATAAAGAGTGTCAATGGGGAACTCAACAAACACTGGACCTGCAGACAGTAACAGTTTATTTGTGGTTAGGTTTTCACAAGACAGGCAACTTAAACATCTCATATTAACAGATTTCTACAATGAAATCAAATATTCAAAGTCCTGGACATCACTGTATTTCTTTTAAAAACTCACCTACTTAGCAATAGTGTTACATTTTATTTTCATGACCTTAAAACTCATTATGTAAGAAAATGAGATATTAGATCCACATAAACTAATATTACCTTAAAAAAGTATTCACTCTTGTATACTAAATTTATTGAGTTCCACTTGAATAATTCAATGTACCATACTGGTTCTAAGAATGATACCGTACAAATACAATAGATAAATATCTAGATTCCACAAAATTACAAACTACAAAATGTAGTCAATGACATTATCCTCTGATAAATCATCCAAATTATCATTGTAATTGTAATGAGCTACAATATTTCACCTAGAGAATAAACTACCACAGCAATAACCAATATCCCTATGTCATATACCAATATTTGTATAAATTATTGCTGGTTATTGTGATAATTCTCTTATTTATTATTTCTGGTTATTGTAATAATTCTGTTAATCTGATAAAGTTATACCTGGAGTCCCAGACTGTGCCTCGTGGAGTGCTTTCTTCAGTGTGGGCACAATGTCTCTGATCTTTGTTACAGAAGCACAGTATTTACACAGAGGTTTGAACAGTGACATCTGGTCTATATCCTGGAGGGCCCCTCTACCCTGTTATAGAATAAACAATAAACTTTCTACAGCAATAACAACACATTTATGGCCTTAACTTCCAATGGAGCAACAGCTTTACCTATATATTTCATAAAAGAGACTCATGGGCTGCAATGCTTACCTGAGTCCTTTCCATTTTCTGAGATACATGTACAGAAATGTAGATAAAGGAATGGTAATGATAAATAAATGAAAAATATATTGACCAAGTCTTGATATCTACATAAGGCAAAGTGGAAAGCACATTGTAAATTTGTTAATCAGGAGAGAAGTCTTTCTGACAGTGTGTAAAATATAACATGATTTCTGACCACTCTCTGCTGAAGACTACAGGACAAAGTCCATCATGTAGATGAGAATACTAACATATTAATATAAGAGCCTGAAACTATTGTTGACAAACCTTGAGTAAAGTAGCTGCAGCACCCCCTATAAGTAAAACCGGTGATTCAGCCATCTGAGCATTCTTCACGGCAGTGACAGTGTTTGTCAGACCTGTGGAATGAATGTCATTATATCAGCCCTTCATTATTAACTCCTCATTAGTTACACAAATGTGCCTGCCTTAATTACAGGTACACACACAGTCATATTTATTCCCCTTCTGACTCTACACCGGGAACCTCATCTTCATTCTACATTTAAAATTTCATTTCATTCTAATCATGATGTCAAGTTGAAGAAAATAATACATACCAAGTTAAAAAAAAATTCCTAATAATTATAAATAAAGGTAATTGTACATTATTGTAAGTAATAACTGAAAACATAATGAGACTATATAGCCAATTTAGTTTAATGTCACTTATTCACCTGGCCCAGCAGTGACTATAGATACTCAGTTTACTGGTAGTTTGAGGTCACTTATTTACCTAGCCCAGCAGTGATTATAGATACTCAGTTTACTGGTAGTTTGAGGTCACTTACTTACCTAGCCCAGCAGTGATTATAGATACTCAGTTTAGTTTGATGTCACTTATTTACCTAGCCCAGCAGTGACTATAGATACTCAGTTTAATTTAATGTCACTTATTTACCTAGCCAAGCAGTGATTATAGATACTCAGTTTAGTTTGATGTCACTTATTTACCTAACCCAGCAGTGACTATAGATACTCAGATTAGTTTGATGTAACTTATTTACCTAACCCAGCAGTGACTATAGATACTCAGTTTAGTTTGATGTAACTTATTTACCTAACCCAGCAGTGACTATAGATACTCAGTTTAGTTTAATGTCACTTATTTACCTAGCCCAGCAGTGACTATAGATACTCAGTTTAGTTTGATGTCACTTATTTACCTAGCCCAGCAGTGACTATAGATACTCAGTTTAGTTTGATGTCACTTATTTACCTAGCCCAGCAGTGACTATAGATACTCAGTTTAGTTTAATGTCACATATTTACCTAGCCCAGCAGTGATTATAGATACTCAGTTTAGTTTAATGTCACTTATTTACCTAACCCAGCAGTGACTATAGATACTCAGATTAGTTTAATGTCACTTATTTACCTAGCCCAGCAGTGCTTAAAAATACTCAGTTTACAGGTAGTTTGATGTCACTTATTTACCTTATAGATACTCAGTTTACTGGTAGTTTGATGTCACTTATTTTCCTGGCCCAGCAGTGATTATAGATACTCAGTTTACTGGTAGTTTGATGTCACTTATTTACCTAGCCCAGCAGTGCTTATAAATACTCAGTTTACAGGTAGTTTGATGTCACTTATTTACCTAGCCCAGCAGTGCTTATAAATAATCAGTTTACAGGTAGTTTGATGTCACTTATTAACCTTATAGATACTCAGTTTACTGGTAGTTTGATGTCACTTATTTACCTAGCCCAGCAGTGCTTGTAAATACTCAGTTTACAGGTAGTTTGATGGGGTACCTGTAAAATGCGAAACGAAATAGAAACAAAACGAAACGGAACGAAATGAAACGAAATCTACCGAAACGAAACGAAATCTTACGAAACGAAATGAAACCTACCGAAACGAAACGAAACTTACCGAAACGAAACAAAAACGAAACGAAATCAAAACGAAACCTACCGAAACGAAACGAAAACTACAGAAACAAAAAACGAAATAAAATCGAGCAAAAATGAAATATATATGTATAAACATTATGATTTAAAATATATTATACAGTGTATATTTTATAAGTAACGAGTCTCTTTTGATACGCAGTGAAAGATAAAAAAGATTTTGTGCATTTCTAAACGTGCACATTTGTAAGTATGGATTACACTTTTAAATAGATATTGCTCATTTTAGTGCAAAACAAACACATTAGACTAAGCCTATACATATAACCCAAGTTATCACTTTCGGGTTCTTGTTAATACAATCCATTTGTATGTATACTTGTATACTCAAAATCAGATTTTAAGACCTGGCGATTCTTGATCTGCTTTTGCCCAACACCAAACTATATCAGATCACAGTAATTTAAAAGCGGAGGATAAGCATTTTTTTTTTTTAAAAAATAATTCGGTGAAATTGCAACATCAAATTTAAATTAAATTCAAAGCATACATTTATCGAAATTAAAATTCAATTTTTATCAAATCATTTGAACAAGCCTTGAAACCACCAGAGGAGGGGGGGGGGGGGGGTCCTTCTCGGAACTACCTCTCAAATAAAAATTAAAAAAAGCTGGACCCAACAATAATCAAAAGTATAATAATAATTAGGCTTTGTATAATTGATCACATATGTATAACAGTAATGCACTTTTTTTTATTTAACTCAATGTGTACATTTTTTTTTTAAGTTATGTTTAAAGACATTCGCAATACAACAGTACAGTAACTTTATTTCGATACGTAAATAGAAAAGCTTTTACATGTAGCACATCAATTATGAGAAATTTATTGTATTTCGATGGTTAAAGGCTAAAAATAAAAGTAAGACATAAAAATTAGAGAATACTACGCTTATTTTGAAATGAGTATTTTGAAATTATATAGTATGCTCGTGCATATTTGTAGCTGGCAGTTGATTTACAGTATATATAAGCATGTATAAGTAAATACATCACTAGAGAAGGGAGCATTTATAGGTGTTTAAATATTATATTAACAAGCGCTTGAACTATATAAATTTTATATGAAGTAAAAATAGTCCATATACAGTTACACATTATATATAATGATATACCTTGATTTGAAAAACCTTCTGTTTCATTTCGTTTGGTTTCATTTTGAGTTCGTTTCGTTTCGGTAGGTTTCGTTTCTATTTCGTTTCGCATTTTACAGGTTCCCGTTTCGTTTCGTTTCGGTAGATTTCGTTTCGTTTCATTTCGTTTCGTTTCTATTTCGTTTCGCACTTTACAGGTACCCTAGTTTGATGTCACTTATTTACCTAGCCCAGCAGAGCTTATAAAAAATCAGTTTACAGGTAGTTTGATGTCACTTATTTACCTTATAGATACTCAGTTTACTGGTAGTTTGATGTCACTTATTTACCTAGCCCAGCAGTGACTATAGATACTCAGATTAGTTTGATGTCACTTATTTACCTAACCCAGCAGTGACTATAGATACTCAGATTAGTTTGATGTCACTTACTTACCTAACCCAGCAGTGACTATAGATACTCAGATTAGTTTGATGTCACTTATTTACCTAACCCAGCAGTGACTATAGATACTCAGTTTAGTTTGATGTCACTTATTTACCTAACCCAGCAGTGACTATAGATACTCAGTTTAGTTTGATGTAACTTATTCATCTAGCCCAGCAGTGACTATAGATACTCAGTTTAGTTTGATGTCACTTATTTACCTAGCCAAGCAGTGATTATAGATACTCAGTTTAGTTTGATGTCACTTATTTACCTAACCCAGCAGTGACTATAGATACTCAGTTTAGTTTGATGTCACTTATTAACCTAGCCCAGCAGTGCTTATAAAAAATCAGTTTACAGGTAGTTTGATGTCACTTATTTACCTTATAGATACTCAGTTTACTGGTAGTTTGATGTCACTTATTTATCTAGCCCAGCAGTGACTAGAGATACTCAGTTTAGTTTGATGTCACTTATTTACCTAGCCCAGCAGTGACTATAGATACTCAGTTTAGTTTAATGTCACATATTTACCTAGCCCAGCAGTGATTATAGATACTCATGTTTAGTTTATTGTCACTTATTTACCTAACCCAGCAGTGACTATAGATACTCAGATTAGTTTAATGTCACTTATTTACCTAGCCCAGCAGTGCTTAAAAATACTCAGTTTACAGGTAGTTTGATGTCACTTATTTACCTTATAGATACTCAGTTTACTGGTAGTTTGATGTCACTTATTTTCCTGGCCCAGCAGTGATTATAGATACTCAGTTTACTGGTAGTTTGATGTCACTTATTTACCTAGCCCAGCAGTGCTTATAAATACTCAGTTTACAGGTAGTTTGATGTCACTTATTTACCTAGCCCAGCAGTGCTTATAAAAAATCAGTTTACAGGTAGTTTGATGTCACTTATTAACCTTATAGATACTCAGTTTACTGGTAGTTTGATGTCACTTATTTACCTAGCCCAGCAGTGCTTGTAAATACTCAGTTTACAGGTAGTTTGATGTCACTTATTTACCTTATAGATACTCAGTTTACTGGTAGTTTGTTGTCACTTATTTACCTTATAGATACTCAGTTTACTGGTAGTTTGATGTCACTTATTTACCTTATAGATACTCAGTTTACTGGTAGTTTGATGTCACTTATTTACCTTATAGATACTCAGTTTACTGGTAGTTTGATGTCACTTATTTACCTAGCCCAGCAGTGATTATAGATACTCGGTTTACTGGTAGTTTGACGTCATTTATTAACCTGGCCCAGCAGTGACTATAGATACTCAGTTTACTGGTAGTTTGATGTCACTTATTTTCCTGGCCCAGCAGTGACTATAGATACTCAGTTTACTGGTAGTTTGATGTCACTTATTTTCCTGGCCCAGCAGTGACTATAGATACTCAGTTTACTGGTAGTTTGATGTCACTTATTTTCCTGGCCCAGCAGTGACTATAAATACTCAGTTTACTGGTAGTTTGATGTCACTTATTTATCTAGCCCAGCAGTGCTTATAAATATTCAGTTTACAGGTAGTTTGATGTCACTTATTTACCTTATAGATACTCAGTTTACTGGTAGTTTAATGTCACTTATTTACCTGGTCCAGCAGTGACTATAGATACTCAGTTTAGTTTGTTGTCACTTATTTACCTAACCCAGCAGTGACTATAGATACTCAGTTTAGTTTGATGTCACTTATTTACCTAGCCCAGCAGTGACTATAGATACTCAGTTTAGTTTGATGTCACTTATTTACCTAACCCAGCAGTGACTATAGATACTCAGATTAGTTTGATGTCACTTATTTACCTAACCCAGCAGTGACTATAGATACTCAGATTAGTTTGATGTCACTTATTTACCTAACCCAGCAGTGACTATAGATTCTCAGTTTAGTTTGATGTCACTTATTTACCTAACCCAGCAGTGACTATAGATTCTCAGTTTAGTTTGATGTCACTTATTTACCTAGCCAAGCAGTGCTTATAAAAAATCAGTTTACAGGTAGTTTGATGTCACTTATTTACCTTATAGATACTCAGTTTACTGGTAGTTTGATGTCACTTATTTATCTAGCCCAGCAGTGACTATAGATACTCAGTTTAGTTTGATGTCACTTATTTACCTAGCCCAGCAGTGACTATAGATACTCAGTTTAGTTTAATGTCACATATTTACCTAGCCCAGCAGTGATTATAGATACTCATGTTTAGTTTATTGTCACTTATTTACCTAACCCAGCAGTGACTATAGATACTCAGATTAGTTTAATGTCACTTATTTACCTAGCCCAGCAGTGCTTAAAAATACTCAGTTTACAGGTAGTTTGATGTCACTTATTTACCTTATAGATACTCAGTTTACTGGTAGTTTGATGTCACTTATTTTCCTGGCCCAGCAGTGATTATAGATACTCAGTTTACTGGTAGTTTGATGTCACTTATTTACCTAGCCCAGCAGTGCTTATAAATACTCAGATTACAGGTAGTTTGATGTCACTTATTTACCTAGCCCAGCAGTGCTTATAAAAAATCAGTTTACAGGTAGTTTGATGTCACTTATTAACCTTATAGATACTCAGTTTACTGGTAGTTTGATGTCACTTATTTACCTAGCCCAGCAGTGCTTGTAAATACTCAGTTTACAGGTAGTTTGATGTCACTTATTTACCTTATAGATACTCAGTTTACTGGTAGTTTGTTGTCACTTATTTACCTTATAGATACTCAGTTTACTGGTAGTTTGATGTCACTTATTTACCTTATAGATACTCAGTTTACTGGTAGTTTGATATCACTTATTTACCTTATAGATACTCAGTTTACTGGTAGTTTGATGTCACTTATTTACCTAGCCCAGCAGTGATTATAGATACTCGGTTTACTGATAGTTTGACGTCATTTATTAACCTGGCCCAGCAGTGACTATAGATACTCAGTTTACTGGTAGTTTGATGTCACTTATTTTCCTGGCCCAGCAGTGACTATAGATACTCAGTTTACTGGTAGTTTGATGTCACTTATTTATCTAGCCCAGCAGTGCTTATAAATATTCAGTTTACAGGTAGTTTGATGTCACTTATTTACCTTATAGATACTCAGTTTACTGGTAGTTTAATGTCACTTATTTACCTGGTCCAGCAGTGACTATAGATACTCAGTTTAGTTTGTTGTCACTTATTTACCTAACCCAGCAGTGACTATAGATACTCAGTTTAGTTTGATGTCACTTATTTACCTAGCCCAGCAGTGACTATAGATACTCAGTTAAGTTTGATGTCACTTATTTACCTAACCCAGCAGTGACTATAGATACTCAGATTAGTTTGATGTCACTTATTTACCTAACCCAGCAGTGACTATAGATACTCAGATTAGTTTGATGTCACTTATTTACCTAACCCAGCAGTGACTATAGATTCTCAGTTTAGTTTGATGTCACTTATTTACCTAACCCAGCAGTGACTATAGATTCTCAGTTTAGTTTGATGTCACTTATTTACCTAACCCAGCAGTGACTATAGATACTCAGATTAGTTTGATGTCACTTATTTACCTAGCCCAGCAGTGACTATAGATACTCAGTTTAGTTTGATGTCACTTATTTACCTAGCCCAGCAGTGACTATAGATACTCGGTTTACTGGTAGTTTGATGTCACTTATTAACCTAGCCCAGCAGTGACTATAGATACTCAGTTTAGTTTGATGTCACTTATTTACCTGGTCCAGCAGTGACTATAGATACTCAGTTTAGTTTGATGTCACTTATTTACCTAGCCCAGCAGTGACTATAGATACTCAGTTTAGTTTGATGTCACTTATTTACCTAGCCCAGCAGTGACTATAGATACTCAGTTTAGTTTGATGTCACTTATTTACCTAGCCCAGCAGTGACTATAGATACTCAGTTTACTGGTAATTTGATATCACTTATTTACCTAGCCCAGCAGTGACTATAAATACTCAGTTTACTGGTAGTTTGATGTCACTTGTTTACCTGGTCCAGCAGTGACTATAGATACTCAGTTTACTGGTAATTTGATATCACTTATTTACCTGGTCCAGCAGTGACCGCTGCCACACCAATCGTCCCTGACATCCTGGCTACAGCATCTGCTGCAAAAACTGTAGTCACCTGACAACAATTCAATACAAATAATCATTTTAGTAATGAAAAGCATTAATCAATTTTAACCTGGTGTATATGGAATGTAAATCAATTATTCAAAACTATCAATGATGCCATTACTAATTTGTTATAACAATTTCAGGATGCTGTAAATTTTTTTAAAAGACCAATTAATCATCTGTTTTGAGAATTATATTACAGTGATTTATGTTAAACTTTATTCAAATTATATTGAACTAAGGCCAAATTTATATGATAGCCATTATAATAATATTTAACAACATCTTTCATACAAGTATTTTTTCATTAAGTGTTTACAAAAGGAAAACTATCAAAAATGTTCTCTTCTTATAAGCTATGAAATGTATAGTGGACATTTTTTCATGGCCATTGGCACAACTTCACTGATTTTATGACTAAATTCATACCTCATGTCTTGTGTCTACAACTCTTATCCCAAGCTTTTCACAAGCTACGAGTATAGGGGATATATGTCCTCCTACGAGGGTAAACACATACTTCACTCCGTGTGCCTACAAACCAAATCAAACAGTGTATAATTCTGACATTTTTATATTCGGTTTATGTCCTCATGGATGAAAAAATGGATAAGAATGATTAAAGATTCCAAAATGTGTTCTATGCAAAAACTGCAAAATAAACCAGTTATTTTAAAATCCAATACTGTATCAACTCTGATTTCTTACACCTAAAAACTAAGTGCACATGTAGTTCTGAAGCAGCTGACTTTAATTTATAACTAAAATAAACACGGAAGACTTGATAATTCTCTGTATTTTCCTCCAAACTTTTTCACTCTTCAATACAGAAAAAGTGAAATTATCTGCAGCTAGAGTTAAAAGATATATCCCAAATTCTATTGTTGATTTAACTGCAGTAAAGTTTACATATTTCTGAGTGAAAATTCTTGATGAGATATTAAACTTTAACCAAATTACTGTTTAATTCTATGCTCAAGGGAACTATTTGTGTGTATACTCCAGTTGATCCAAACTTTACAGAACTATAATCAATTAAACTGAATCATTTGGGATTAAAATCATTGTTAATTATAAATCTTAGACATGAAAAGTTAAAAAATTATTATTTGTAATATTGTAGATTGCAAGGATATGAGACACTAATGGGGCTATAACAAGAAAGAAACATTATGAAGGACATGACCAGGATGGGAGCCTGTGGCCCCAAACTCTTTACAAAGTGCTTCAATAACTGAGGTATCTAATTCTTACTAGGGCTGTGTGTTGAGCAAAAAATTTTGATACGATATAATATGATATTTTATAAAGTGATATGCAATATATTGGATACCTTAACAAGTCTATCAAAAAACTCTTGTAAATCATTTTATTTTAATGCATAAAATTTTTTGAAAAATGAGTGTTTTAAAAACAATTTCAAAGTTCTTGTCTTGCTGTCATTATAAAATACGCTTCAAATTCAACTTTTTAATGACTATAAAACCAACATGTTTAAAAAAAAATATCTATGCATTTTATAATAATTATTTAAGATGTCATATCTCCTTAATGTTTATATCATTATTGATCTGTTTTAATTCAAAACAGTCAAATATAATCTTTGGTGATTGAAATTCCTAACTTTTTCACAGAATTATAAGAAAAACCGCCAGCCCGATACATATTGGAAGTTATTTCTTCGATACGATACATTCTTGAATATTGATATACATGTATAATCGATATACATTGATACAACCCTAATTCTTACCATGGACTGACAGGAAACCTGTCAATAAGCCGGCCACCATGTACACCAAGATCAAGAGTTTTATCTATTAAATTTATTTTGTATTCCTGTCCATATATTACCTTAAGGACATCCGCCACAATGTCGCCACCATTCCTCTTTGTTTTGCTGTCAACCTGTGAATGAATTATTGAATATTACCCATCATGAAAATCTAATGAGAGGCTTTTCATCAGAGCTACAGACAGCCCTTCAAAGCAGGTTTCTGATATGCTCATGTCATATGGAAATAAAACTAAACACAATGCTTGACTCCAAATCAGAAATGAATCGAGGATTACCTTGTGAAATAGCTGATAAATTATTCCGAACTTCCTCAGGAAATACACGGTCCCTAGAGCTGCTGCAGATAAACCAACAGGAAGAGCCAAGTTTCTGAACAATTTCTGCAAACTCTCATTTTGTGACCCAGCCATCTTTTGCCGTGGACTTTGTGTCGGCTTCTGCCACCTACTTTCACTTTCATTAATAAAAAAGTAGGCCAATCCTATTTCATGCATACAACATGTACAATGAATACGATGAATTCTTCATCAAATATTATTAGCTATAACTTTGTTTTCTAAGTAATAAATGAACCCCTTATATTTTCAAATTGTTGATTTCTATCTCTAAAATAGATAGATTGATCTATTCTGTTCATTTTATATGATATAAGCGACCATTATAATCATTTTGCTGTTTCCGGTTAGCAGTCTGACGTGTATGCCCTCGGTCAAACCATACTTATAGGATAAATGTGACTGACTAATTTGTCGTCTACTTAAGGTAACGTTAGGGTTTTCAGCTGTGACTACAGTCATACATTATCGAAAAAAATAAATTCTACATTGAACGCGATATTGACATTAACATACGATTAGTGATTAACCAACTATAGATCTAATTGATAAACATTAACATTTTGAATGTTTTGATAAGCCAGTTGTGTTCACGCTTGACTCAAGTTTGCTTTTGTCAATTTTTATGAATTCTATTTCAAAGAATAATCCAACCCTTTTATAGATCTCATGTATGAAATGAAATATTCTCATCATTTTCTCATAGGTTGTCATATGAAATATGGAAATGCAACGTATTGAATGTGATATTATTCGGAACAAATTGCTGAATGAGACTTTGATGGTGCTGTGATTCATCTGTGGACATAAGAACAACTTCAGGATGATGCAGGAAGAGGAAGACGAGGGAGGGACCTACGATCATACGTCCCTCCTGGATCTAAGAAAACGGAAAAGTCCAACTACGATGTGGTGCTGTAGCTTTGTTAAGACAGTTTGTCTGTCATTCACATTTCTGACATTGGTATGTTTTATATTCTGAATCGCTGTCCCTTATTGCATGTGTACATCATTTATCTGAAATCTTTCATACATGGGTATGAGAAATGCAGGGTTCAAAATTAAGTGGAAATACTCACTAAATGCAACCATAAAATACATTTTAGCAAGTGTGTCACATTAAACACTAGCAAAATTTATCGATAAGTTGCAGTTTGGGGTTTTTACCTTTCCAAATTAAAAGTGTTTGAATGACGTACTCTTTAATTGTCATGATTTTTAGGGCCGATCTAGAGTCAAAATTTGGCAGCAGACCCAATAGAATAAACCTGTATTTTCCCAAATTATATTGAAAGTTTTCCCAAAGGAAATCTTACTGAATTTGTGATCACAATCAGTTTGTTTATTTCATGTTCCTCAATAAAGTTATGAACTCGAGCAGAAATATTTTTTGGTCAGACATTTTGGATTTCTTCATTTATTTAGATAATTGATACCACTATCGTTCTTGATGTAAGTTATAAGATAATTCATAACTGAAATATTCTTCAGTTGTTTGTCAAAGTAATACAAATATTTGAAATTGCTTCTCATATGACAGGGATTTTTTCGAAATCCCAGTTTAACCTAATTGACACTGAAATTCTCAATTCTATGGGCTCCATCCTCACCCTCCCAGACCCCACCCCCCAAAAACACTGACTGCAATTATTTTTATATTAGATTTGAACTTTCATAATTTGATTTACCATTATTGAATAATTTCTGAAAATTGCACATGAATTTTCAATTTTGCTAATAAATGCTTTTGCCACTATAGCTAAAGTTTGCTCATGGTAATAAAAGTTAATTTTGAACCCTGGAAATGGATATATGGAAGAAATAGAATTTATTTAAAATATGTTTAAAAAATGCTTTGAAATTATTATGAGACTCTCAGAAATTGCTACAATGTATACGTAACATTATAGAACATGGCGGGGACCTAGGTCAGTGCAGTCTCTGTCATATGGTACGTAAATCAAAGATGAACTTGTGTCATATGAATAGAGACCATTGTTTTCATGTGATACATATATATTATACAAAGTCAGTGCCAAGTAGTCATTGCAAAATGTCATTGAGAATGTTTTGAAGGAGTTTATTTGACCATGATACAATGTAAACATTCTGGTTCTATTTAATTTACGTTTGTCTATTTTTACTACAGGGTTTATGTATTGCCATCCCAGGGCCGACCCTTATCGACCTGAAGGAGAGAATCAACACCGACACCACTCACATGGCCCTGATATTCACGGCACGCTCCATCGGTTATCTGCTGGGGTCCCTGGTCGGAGGTTTTCTGTTTGACCATTTTGACAAACAGTTATTGTTGATGGTGACTTTGATTGTGGCCGCGCTGGCCACCAGTATTATCCCATGGTCACTCACGTTGACTGTTCTAACAGTGATGATGTCACTACAGGGCTGCTCCATGGGGGTTTTGGATACAGGTAGAATGTCATTTGAAGTTGGATCATTTTTAACCCATCAGAGCTATTTTATTTTTTATTTTTTTAAATATTTTAAGAATTTTAGTTGAGCAATATATATTTTACCTTGTGTTGTAATATATCATTATGATATTCATTTGATTTCAGAGAAAAAGATAAAAGGAAAAATTATATAAAGTTTAAAAGCTTCTTTATTCTTTATATATGTGTGAAAAATAATTGATTTCTGATTCTAACTATCTACATGTAATTACGTCTAGTTTTATAGTAAATAGAATGTCCTTAGTATTGAGTAGGGGAAAAAAAAACTTCATAAGTGTATTTACATGTTTTGCCTGTAATAATTATTCTCTAACCTTCTTTGCTGGTTAACTTTGACTTTTAACCCTCGTTAAGATAAAAATCTTGTATCTTCTTCTCAGTGACTAGAAATCATAACAAGTAAGAATATACTCCATTTTGACATGTTATTAATATTTCTTAGCATCCCAAGTAAAGATCAAAATTTAAAATGGGACTAATTCAAAAAAGTTAACATGTTTAGCACATCTATAGGCAAATATAATATGGGGCAAAATTGCTTGCAAGTTTGAAAGGGCCAAAATAACCCTTTTATACATTGTGTTATATAGTTTTTTGTTCGTTGAACATTTGTTTGAGAAATTTACTGACCCATTTTTGTCTTTTTCCAGGAGGCAATGCATTTTGTGTTCGAATCTGGGGTAAAAGGAGCCCTCCGTACATTCAAGCCATGCACTTTGCATTTGGAGTAGGAGCTTTCATTGCTCCGTTACTTTCTCAGCCATTCTTGTCAAGTAGCATTCAGAGTGTCGGAAAACTTAACCCTGTTAATGATGACTCCTTAACTAAGTTTCTCATAGAGAACACAAATCATTCTCGTTTAGGACGAGATTTAAATGAAACATTTCAACAGATTAATGCTAATGACATATTACATTTAAACACAGAGAATATCTCCATGACAACAACTTTAGTCATGACCCCCGCTCCTGCCATTCCTGTCCCAAAGAAACCAACACACATTGACTCAACCAAAGAAGACAAGGGTAAGGCAGATGGTAGTCAATATTTACAGGATTTTAAAAATAAGATCAAAAAACTTCCAATAAATAAAGAGGTGAAAAATCCACAGAGCAAGGACATCCCTGCTGCTACTCCTAGTCAAGCCATGCCGGGCATTAATAGTACAAAACCCACACAGACTCCATCAACAAATGCTAAAACATCTGCCATAGATGATAATACTCTGACGGAAAAATCTAGTACCGCTACCACTCAGAAACCTACCACAAGTACCACCATCATTGGTACCACAAAAGCACATATCACAACCACCACTAGTACACAAGTATCCACTACCACCACCACGGAATCACCCACTACTACTGCTAAATCACTCACTAGTACACAAACACCTACTACAAGTACACAAGCACCCACTACAAGTACACAAGCACCCACTACAAGTACACAAGCACCCACTACCACTAATAGATCACCGACTAGTACACAAGCACCCACTACAAGTACAAAAGCACCCACTACAAGTACACAAGCACCCACTACCACTACAAAAGCACCCACTACAAGTACACAAGCACCCACCACCACCACACAAAAACCAACTACAAAGACAACACAAGCTCCCACCACCAAGAAGACAACCCAAACACCCACTGTTAGTGGATCTCTAATTTCATCCACTTCTTCACCTAAAATATCAAGTTCCACCTCCTCAACTTCAGACCAAATGAACAGCTCCACAACTGCAGTGTTTCACAATACTACGTTTCCTGTGAGACGCAAGAAACCACACATGACAGAATCCAAGAACATTTTAGAAGTTGTCAGTAATATGTCCCGGGTTCAGATGGCATATCTAATCATTGGTGCTATGCTACTGGTGAATGGCTTTTTCTTTTGTGGCTTGTATTGCTATGATAGATACAAGTCGGACTTCAGTATATATGAAGATAGTGACGTAGGCCAAGATAAATTTGGAAATCCATGCAAGCGATATGTGATCATGTCCATGATGTTTTTATTTTTCCTTGCATATATTGGCATGGAGACAACCTTTGGAGGCCTTTTGATGACCTTCATAGTTAACTTTATGGGTTGGACCAAAGACAAAGGAGCAATAGTAACAGCCATTTTTTGGGGCTCTTTAGCTGCTGGACGGGGATTTTCAATCTTTATAGCAAACTGCTTCCGTCCTACTTGTATGTTGTTAGTAGACATTTCCTTGATGTTGATTGGTTCGTCACTATTGAGCTTTGGAATAAGCTACTACGACGCCATTCTGTGGATTGGAACTTTGACCTTGGGATTTGGAATGTCCTCTCTGTTTCCCACTGCAGTGTCCTGGGTCGACCAATATTTCAAAATGACCGGGAAGTCCACTGCAGTACTTGTGATGGGGTCAGCGATGGGTCAAATGATAGTCCCTGTTACCACAGGGTATTTTTATGAGCACTACCTTAAGATGTCCCTGATGTATGCCTGTCTGGCTCTAAGTGTTTTGTTAAGCGTTTTATTTTTGGTAATGCAGTTCATTGCCTCACAAGACAGTGGTCTCCGATTCCAGTCAGACAATGAGGGATTCACGAGACTTAGAGATGAAGAGAACCTGGAAATGGACGACGTGTCATACGGGACAACATCCAATGGGAAGCGGAGATTCATGCCAACATTTAGTGACTCGGAATATAACCAGCTGTTACAAGAGGAGGAAGATGATCTATTGGCATAGTGATATGTGACTCTGGTCTAAGCCAGCAGAAACTGTTGGCATAGTGATATGAATATTCATGGTTTAAAGCCTGAAATGAGTATTACATGTAATTGTGTTCTAAGCCTTTAAAACAAATCTACAATAGCTAGAGCCTTTGGAACAAAGCTACAGTAGCTAGAGCCTTTGGAACAAAGCTACAATAGCTAGAGCCTTTGGAACAAAGCTACAATAGCTAGAGCCTTTGGAACAAAGCTACAGTATCTAAAGCCTTTGGAACAAAGCTACAATAGCTAGAGCCTTTGGAACAAATGACAGTGAAATGAACCTATTTATATCCCTAGTCTACAGATCTACAGAGTATTGGAGTGATGATGAGAGGATCATTTAGCATGGGCCGCAGCATCTGAAAGGTGATTCTCCTAGTCTGATGAAATACAGAGAACAGGAGATTTAGCATTCAAAGATGTGAAAATCCTGAAATATTTCAAATGTCTTTGATTTTGTTAACTCTGAACAACATCTGAATGTTGTAAAACTGCCTAAGAATATTTACATGTGGTTTGATGATATTTAATATAGCTTTGGTTTATTGGGTAAAGATGAATCCTGGGGGGCTGTAATGTATTATATTGTATTATATAAACATGTAGTTTTTATATCCACTTTATAAATATATTCACAAAGGTGACCTAGTCCTCCCAAAACTGACCCACCTCCTTTTGTCTGCATGACAGAAAAACACTTGTGTCACTTGTAAAAATTGTTGTGAATATTTTATTTCCATTCAGTGTACAAAAATTCTGTAGAAAAGCTTGCTAAAACAGAAATACTTTTTTTTCTAAATTAACACTGGAAAAACTCAAAATTCCTTTATTTTAAAAAAAAGAATTGATTAATATCTCAGTTTTCTTTTTCTTTGTGCATGAATTTGTGTGTGCATTTCATAAATTATCTATTTAGAATCCAGTTCTATTTGATGAAGTCTTTTTTTTATACAGTGTGAAATAAATTCAAAATCAGCTTCAGATTATTAAAAAATTACTTTCACAAGAAAATTAGTTATTACCAAAAATGTTAAAGTATTGAGATACGACAAGATGAATATTTTTGTTTTACATGAAACTTGGTTTGAGTCCTGTTCATACTGAATTTTATTTCTTCTAGTGGGATTAATGTCCTCATTGCTTTTATAGTTATAGGCTTTACAAGGTCACTAAAGGGCATTTTAACTAACTTAATTCACTTTTTTCCCATGAGATCTGAAGTTTTTAAGTTTGCATTTTGAAGAATCACCATAAATTTTCCAAGAAAGATACCAACTTGTCTGCCAAGTATTTTTCTCCATTGAAACTTTTGTAAAGTGACAGGATCAGATGTAAGATTTTTATTTGGACAAAAACCAATGAATTTACTTTGAGTCCACCCCAGGCATTTTCTAAGGATAATAGAGAAAAACTTTGATTTCTGTTTGATGAATCTTTAGGTGAGATAGATGGAGATTATCTTTGTTAATGATCCATGAAATTTGTTGGCCTGGGTAAACAATGTAGGAAGCTTTGAAAGTGTAGATAACTAATCTAAAGTACACAGCTGTTTACAACATTAATACAGTAATCCGATTTTACACTCTGATCATATCACATACATTTTTGGAAATCTAGAAAACAATGACATGCTTATATACTTGTTTATTACATACTTAGTATAATAATAATTAAATACAGGATTTTTGCATATGTGATATAACTGACGTCACAATAGCCATATCACCCCTGTAGAGCTGATGTGGATCTGCAGGGCTGATACGGATCAATATCACGGTAGATTTAACCTAAAAAATAACAGTACTTGTGATAATACACTTATTTTATTTTTTTTTTTTTTTGGTTCACATTCTGTTCATTTTGAATTACTGTTCTTTGAAACAATAAACTACGTACATGTCAGTAGTCAGTGCATGATTATTTGTTTTGTTATTTTTTTTTCTCAAGTTGATGTGTTCTGTATTTTATTACTAAGTATTTAATAAACATGATAAAACATACCCTTTTCCATACCACATCCTGTATCAGCCCTCGGGCTTTCGGCCATCTTGCTGATATTGGTGTCTCGGACTGATACAGGATGTGATATGGAGAGGGTATGTATTATTCTCTATGTAACTATATATTTTGTTCAGTTAATTTATGCCTATAATTGATAAGAATTTAATTTATTTGTTTTGCGGTAAATTATGCATCAAATTGTTCAAATTTACCAGTGGAGATTATTTTTCACATTTATGTAGATCTTAGCTCAAAAAGCCACAGAATTGACAATTTTCCTTCTGAAACCCTGGCGTAAGTTTCATATTTCAATTCACTTGTTTCCTAAGTATCTACATTTTAGCTTTAGTGGAGTCACAGATTCAAAATTATTTTCTGTTCAAGTTTTCTGTGTTTGTATTTATGTGAGCCAAATATTGCCAACAAACAACACGTATATTGTTATTGAAATTGTGTGTGTGTGTGTGTGTGTGTGTTTGAGATGTTGGTTTGAATTCTAACAGAAATCGTCAACATTTATCGAATGCTGATTAAGATTAGAATTCTAATACATACTGGGGTTAACTTGACTGAGATATTTGTAAATGCAACTCTGATGTGAGTTTTTTTTTTCATTGATAATATCCATTGTTTATTATTTGAATAATTTGCTAGTAATGTCTATGTTTTTGTATGTCTGTGTTTCCAAAGTATTAAATGCTGAAGGAATTTGACGTTGAGAACTTAATGAAAATTCAGAGGACAAAGAGATGTCATTTTATGTTTAATTTTCTTGTGACCCCCCTATTTTTTTTTTTTCACAAATAGTAATTTACTTGATCAAGGGACTAAATTCTTTTGTAAAACTGAAGGTATTTATTGAGATTTTTTTTTTCATTTAAAAATATAATTGTATTTTGGAAAAAAAAGAGAAAAGAAAGAAAATTTATTGGGAGATGGATATGGTTTTTTTTTTACTTATAGTAAATTGTGGGATTGATGAAAGGGGGGTTCTGAAATTGTTTGAGGAACAAAAACAAAAATTTCTTTTGTAGTTAAGTAATTATAGATTGTCCACCCTTAATCTAGCACTGGAACATAGTAGAGATGGTATCAATGATAACCCCCTACCCCCACCCCACCCCCGCCTTCTCATTAGCTCATGTCATGTGATGACTCTTAGGTGGGGTCGTGACTTTGTCTAAAGCTTGGGGGATGACAAATTAATTCTGAGAAGTCGGGTGGGGTGGGGTATCGAGTCAGATTTTTTTTTTCATAACCTTGCAGGACATAATATTTAAGTTTTCAAGATTTTTAGAAACATTATTTATTTCCTTCCTTGCAAAAAGTTGGGGGGGGGGGGAAATATGCCCAAACTCGAAAACATCAAATGGACGTCCCCTTATTCATGGTCGTGAAGAGTACTTTTTCGCAAAGAATGATTTTTTGTGTTTTTCCATAACAGAAATATGCCAGTAAACACACTGAACATGACTGTGACCTTGAGTTTGTCATATGATCAAGGTCAGGGCCATAATTCACATGACACCTGCCACGTTTGTGCCAAGTCTCTATGAATTCTCACCTTGGATCTTAGATCCTTAGACCTGGGGCATATAAAGCTCTTTGCTTGACATAGTGTTGAAAATGCAACCTGAATTGAAGTAGTAAAAATCAGTTCTGGCCTGCTAGCTTCAGATATTTTTAAGTATTTAAAATTAAACTAGTAATCACGTCTTGTAATGCATGAAAATCCATATTAAGGCACATCTCTGAAATATTTAATTTTATGTATAAAACTGTAAATATATATTTAGCGATTTTGATCTAAATAGCTTCAATACCTAACGGTGGAATGTAAACGTAACATTAAGTTAGTTCAGCAAAAATGGCAAAACATAACAGGTTTTTCATTTAAACCTAGACCGTTTGACGCAAGAATCCAAGTATTCTGTAAAATATGAACGGGCACCTGTTTTTCCAGAGTGCATTGTTTCAGTTTTATTCTGCTGCATCAACCAAATTCAAACTAAGTGACTCACTAAAGAACCTTGTTCTCAAAATCCGCCATGACATGCACCAAAGGAGAACTGTGCTTTCATTTCTAGATAAGAGATGACAATTTAGATAGGAATTATTATATTGAAAATATAAACCTCATAAACCTCGAGCATACAAAAGCTTGATAGAGATACGTTTGTGCTGAGAGACGTACTTGATGCTGTGCCAAGTTAAAATTATCCCAGTAGAAAGCTTAAATTAATCTTTGACCTACTGTTTCGTTAAGATTAAGTTGCTGCCCGACTTTTTTCCTCACATTTCCACACTTAATTTCAACGTATTATTACCTTTTTTTCTGTTGTTCTTACTGTATATAAGACGGTAATTTCCCAATTCAATCGTAAAGCGCTTAAGTCTTCGTAACGAAGTAAATCTGTGAAGTTTGCAAAGGCAGCACTTTCAGAAAAAGCTTCGAAAACCATATATATGACAAAACTTAAGCATTATAAAACAACGACTTAAGTTGTGTCCAAGCAAAATATGATAAAAAGTATATCTAACTCTTTAAAAGGTTATTTATATCAATACTTCATTGACAATTTCTGCTTGCAATCGTAACAAAACGTATTGGCAAAAAATATAAACGCATTTTTCTTGACAATATGGAAGCATTTTAAAATTTAGAAAATCTTTAACATATATCTTATAATATCTACCTCAAAATGAGAGGGGTATATTGCAAAAAATATTTTGATAATTACACTGCTAGTATCCGGGGGGGGGGGGGTGTTTAGTTAACAGATCTAGCTGATCGTTCTGCCTTAAAACTTAAGTTGAATCAGTGTACGTACGTGTATACTTGTAGTACGTATAGTACGTGTACATGTTGCTTGTTGAAATGACAGAATTGCAGACAGAATGGTCACAACCCGTCAATGTTGTTCGTCCTTAACATGTCTGCTGAGATATTACACTGTAAATATCACATCTCAAACAATGATGAGTAAAAATCAGAGAATGCTTGAGAACTGTTTGTTCATTTAATCGGTACATATTTTCGAAAACCCTTTTTTAACTCAGATTTAAGAACAAAATATGTTTATAAATATTGTACAACTTAGCTCGATATGGGACTATGGCATGTGGCTCCTCAATGGACTGAAATGATTTGAAGTTTGTGGTTGGGGAACTGGAGGCACTCTAAAATTAACTGTTGGTTCAGAACGTTCAAATTTCAAGATTAAAAAAATACAGAGAGTGAACTTTAAAAATAATGAAAATATAGTGTTAAACACCGTAGTATTCTTCTTAACAGTGTGACGGCATATTTAAAGGATTTTTAACATTATACGATGATTGCTGTTTTTGACGTCAATACGATGATTTAGCCACCTGATGAGTACAATATTCACCGAAGCTCGGTGAACATTGTACTTCTCAGGTGCTAAATCATTCGTATTGACAGAAAAGCAGCAATATTTGTTTTATTATGAATTAATGATAAATGAATCAAACCATGATATCTTTCTTGATTGTTTACCTTTGATGAAGTCCTAGCCAAACGCAATGAGAAAATCATGATTAAAACCACTGTTAAAATTAACATAACCATGCAGTTGTATTATAATTTGGAATTTCTTAATTGATTTTTAAAGAAAAAAATAAGTGACAGGCACGTAACATTGAAAAAAAAAGGGGGGGGGGTAGCAGGAAGGGAAAAAAGACAACTAACTTGAAAAAATCTCGAACACCCCCCCCCCCCCCCTCCCAAAAAAAAATTCTTCATGATATGATCACCTTAGTGGAAGTTAGGTGGAGGTGAAGCAACAGTTCCCAATCAATTTTTAGTCCAATGTAGAAAAATAAATTCTTGTATTCACCTGGACGGTCATGTGCAAGTGAATACAACGTAGTGACTTTTCTACAACGTTGAATCTCAGCGAATCAGAAAGCTAGGATTTATTCAATAATAGAATAATGTTTATTTTTAATCTCTTATCCTTGAATTAGGGAAAATAAATATGTATAATTTTGTCACTTCTAATTTTTGAAGTCTTTTTTGCTCGAGCAGTTTTGGCCATTTAAGGACAAAAAACCCTTTTTTCTAAGTTTTCTCAGTTTAATCAATACCAATATTAATTCCGTTAGTCATCTTCAGAATGTCACAATTTGCAGCTTCCAACAGATATTTGCATAATAGAATAATATTTCTTTTTTGGAAAAAAAATGATTTTTTTCGGTGATGTCAATCTAAATTACGAAATATTCTGTAAAGTTTGACGAAACGGGACAGATGTATACTAAATCAAGTAACCCCTCTTGAAATATATGTAACTAGATAAAATCCCGCGCAAGCGCGGGGAATTGAATCTATACTACTACGGACAGAAAATATTTTGTAGTTTCTACTGACAGCCTACAGGCTTATAGCAGGAAGAAATACTTTGTTCAAAATCTCGCAGGAAGTAGATGTGTCTCCACCCCCACCCCACCCCTTTGTAAAAACTTGAAAATTAACAAAATTTTTCATTAATTGACATTTATTGTGAAACCTGTTATACTTTGTTATAGATATTGTACATCAGATGCTCTTATTTCATTTCCGTCAAGGATAAAAGCAGTGAATATGCATATTTTACTGCTAAATTGATTTGGGGGGAAGGGGGGGGGGTAAAAATTCATAGGTACTTGGGTCTTGGTTTATAAATATGTTTGTACCTTACTGATATGTAAATAATGTACTTTACTTTTTTACATATCAATAAGGTATATACATATTTATAAACCAAGACTCAAGTACCTTTGGAAAATTAACTTTTAACGCCCTATGAATAGGCCGAGTATTTGATACAAAAGACTGTTTTCAGAAAAAAATGAAATGTATTGTTATATAAAAGCACAAAATTTTACATCTGTAATTGTTTTTGAACAACACCTTATTCATAAATTTTCAGCCGTAGGAACCGGGGGGGGGGGGGGGGCACGGGGGGCCGTGCCCCCCCCCCCCATAATTTAGCCGATATATAGATTACTATAGTAAACATAGATACTATATGCTTGTGCCCCCTCAATGAAAACGTCAGATGACCTTTTTTTTTTTGCTTGTCAGGAAATTTTTGGTAGTGCCCCCTCAACTGTCAACTGAAAATGTATGGCTATGCCCCCCCCCCCCCCAAACTGAAATTGCTTCCTACGGGCCTGATTTTCTCTTTACATGTAAGCAAGTTTATTACGAAGTACAAATTGTACTTCGGGTTCGTTGCCACGATGCTCTCAGTAAGGAATATACAAATTTTACCGATAAATTTATTAGGAAAACCTACTACATACATACATATATTTGTAATAGTCTTTCGATATGTAAATATATTCACAACTTATAGTTTTATCAATGATTTACCATTATTTCAATGACCAATCACACAAAAGCTATTTTTTTTATGTTGTGCAGCTATAAGCGCCTCGTTTTTTTAAACATCGGGCTCGATGCTATATGATGTTCTAGAAGCTTCCGTCAATATTAAGATCGGTGAGTGACGAAAAAATTTGCACATTTCCCTTTTTAATCGGTTATCACAACTTATTTCTTTTATATCATTTAAATCAAGTTTTGATTGAATAATTCAGTCATGACGTTTTATGAAATAAATAAACGATTGCTTGTTGTCAGTTTCATTAAAAATTGCCAGTAACTTAGATCCGCCAACCGGAAACGCCACCGTACTCACGTTTT